CCCTATATCCCGGTACTGTATGAAATAGAGACTAGAATTTATTAGTACAAAATCTACGTTAACGCAACTAAGAAAGAAGGGGGCCTATTGTGTGATATACATATACCAGTTAAGATTGTGGAATCCTGCACCAATTCCATATTGTGTATTCACAGTTAGTCAACATGTTGTTATCTTATGGATGTCTGTATTGCATAAATCATTTTTAACCACTATAGGGGCGTATAGGTATGCCCCAGACAGATGCATATCATCTGTTAACATTGCACAACCATTTGTATGTAAATCAGTAGCAGCCGCTGGCACGCATAGATTCCCTGTAGATAATGGAGTCGGAACTTGAGTCACGCCGGAGCCAATAGATTAGTTAATTCGTGGGTAATTGTTACACCGAACTTTAATACAAATATTAATTAAATCGATTAATTTGCTGGTGTCAGTTAATGATAGTGATTACTTCCCTGGAAGAACAAAGGTATGTCATCCATGCTATCTTAAAATTCCAAAATATTCACCTTTTATCTATCGGCTAGCATGATTGATTCTTCCTTATATATCCCATCCAGCAGATGTTAAAAGATCTTATCACTCCTCTTTTTGATTGAGGTGATGCATTGTGACTAATATCCAAGATTTTGGGCATTTAGTCTAGCTTCACAGTAAACTGTCAGCTCACGTGGTAACAGAACTCTTTCTAAAATGTACCAATCGCAGTAGTACCATCAAAATCACAACCCCTAAATCATAAGTAAAAACATATGGCGCACTATAGTGCCTTTATTTTTTGCTGCTGAAACTCTAGGTGGGCCAATTTGTCTGTCATCCTGCAAATTCTCAATCTCTCTCTCTCTCTCTTTCTCTCTCTTCTCTCTCTCTCTCTCTCGCTGGTGCCATGGTCGATTCGACCCTCGGCGACTTAAGATGCCAGTTTCCTTGCTGCGTCCCATATTTTTTGTGTGTTCATTCCTGTGCTTTTCTTTAGTTGCTTTAGGAACAGGAGCCTTTGTCTCCCTCTAGTTTCCTTCCCAGGAATCTTTGCAGCCAATTTGAGGTCCTTGAGTTGGCCTTTTCCAATAACATGGCCGGTGAGTTTTATCTGTCTTTCCTTTATAATTATAAGACAAGTTGTAGTTCTTGTTCAACTTGCTTGAGAACCGAGATGTTAGTTTCATGAGCATTATACGAGATACGTAGCATTCGACGGTGGAACCACATCTCTGCAACAATTATGTTTTTTCGTCGTTGCAGCCGAGAGAGTCCGTAATCACTACCGTACAAAAGAATGGACCATACAAAACATCTGAGAAGTCTAATTCTTAGCACCATTGATATTCCCCTATCCTTAAATATTGCAGACATTTGACTGAAGCTAGTTTTCACCATTGCTATGAGTCTTCTGATCTCCTTTTCACACCTTCATCCGGCGTCAATATTGACCTGAGGTAATTGAAAGAATGGACTTATTCAATAGGGATTCCATTGCGTACTAGGTAACATGATAGAGGTTGACAACCTTTGGAGATAACCATGCTAAAGGTCTTCCTGCAGTTGATCTCAAGTCCTTCTTTCTAAGAGGCATGCCAAACAAGACCTAGGAGTGTTTGGAGGCCTTCCTTGCTGTCAGCTATAAGAGCGGTAGAGTCGTCCGCGTATCTGATATTGTTGACGCGTGTTCCATTGATCAGTACACCGTCTTGTGTGTCCTTAAGTTGACGGAGTATCTGCTCACTATGAAGACTGAAAGAAATCACTCATCACTCACACCTGTCGCACACCATAATTGATTTCAGTCTTTTCAGTAAGGCCGTCGGCATTTTTGATTGCGCCCTTTTGTAGAGATTGTAGAGGTTGTAGAGCTTACAGATGACCCGGTAGTCCTTTCCATCTATCCCGATGCCTTTGAGCCTTTGGAAGAGTTGTTGGTGTCTAACACGGTCGAATGCTTTCTTTTAATCAATGAAGCAGATGTATATGTTCTGTTTGTGTTGTATGCTTCGTTCGTTAAGTATGCATAATACATGTATGAAGATGGCATTTCTTGTACGACTGTCGGACATAAGTCTATATCGACATTTTGCTTTCTCCGATCTTATCGTGGAGCGATACCGTTCAAGTATGATTTTGAGCAGTAGCTTAAGGGTGTGACTCATAAGGCTAATTGTTCTATGTCGATCACAGTCCAGCCTATATATCCGGTTTCCAGGGGCGGATCCAGGATTATTTGGCATGGGGTTCGTGACCGGATGAAGGGCCCAGAAAAATGTTTGCAATTTAGAGGGCGAACGGTGCCATTTGGTACGGTTAAGAACTGTGATTCAGCTAGTCAAATTTCTAATTTCAAAAGGGGACCAGAAATCGAAGGGGGTCAGGACTGGATTTCTTTGGCAGTGCTTTGAAAATGGATTTGAGTATGTCATCAGGTATTTCTCCAGAGTCGTAGATCTTGTTGACAAGATTGTGTATTGTGTCAATACCTGTTTCACCTAGTGATTTGAGCATTTCAGTGACAACCTCATCTGGGCCTGATACTCACTTCATATGATATCGTATAATCAAAGTGCATGATGTCACTTTTTTGTTTATATCAAGTTTTACCTTACTGCTCTGGAGAATATATCCTTTTTCATTGCATTCCTTGAGGGTAACGTCAGGTTGTTTTGATTTCCCATGCTCCTTGGGCCTATTCACGTCTTCATTACTACAGTTTGTAAAGGCTTCATAAAAGTAATACCATTTTGCCTCACTGTACATGATATTAATTTATCCCAGATATTGCAGTGGCAACCACAAACGTCAGTCCAAGCAGTCAAAGTCAAGTCAAGGTACACCCATCCTTTCTTTGTGGAATTGGACAAAGATGACGATTTTACATATTCACAACTACCTATAGATGACAGAGAGACGATCGTATACAATGGCTCTATGACGAAGAAGGAGTATGATATATTAGAAATGGACTATATCAGGTAAAGTGAAATTTAATTACTTCAATATCTGCTACAATGTCGGCTCGAAGTACGTGTAGATGATTGATCGCTTAATGATATCTCTGTCCTTAAGTGTTTTTACGATTATCTGTTGCTCAAGTGACTGGTTAAATGGGTAAAAGACGGTGATGTCAGTGGGGTGGAATAATACATAAAAAAGAATTTTCCTGAAAAAAAAAACAGCATTTTACCATTATCAACAGAGCACACTCTATCCAAGAACCGTTGAGGAAATATGCCTGAATCAATTTTACTAATGGAAAGTTCAGAGCTTATTTTGTACACCTCAAGACTGGTACCTGATAAGATTACTGGTTGAATGTTGGGTTTCATATAGCCTACACAGAGGGTTAAATTGTGTCTTATATCTGAATGAGTAGAATATGTTTTCTGTATTTTTATTGTTTCCAGATATATCGTTACCCAACAGTACGACTGCCGTGAACGGGTACGTGCTGGGCACATAGACGAAGGCGGTTGGGAAGTATGCTTGGACCCGCCGTTTGACATCAAGAAAAACCAGTGTCTGGTCTACTCTTTTGGGTATATCTGCTATATTTTATGCTTTCGTTTTAATCGAATAACAAACGAATGTTTCCTTAAACTGATAATTTCGGACGTTCTAGAAAAGTGAAATAGCAGGCTTTGGATAGACGTAACACACTCAACACCAGATTGATTTGCCAAATTTGTTGAAATCTTTATGTTGGGCAATGTACTTCGACAGTTATGAACAGAAAAACAACCAGAAAAATATCCGTTGATAAATTCTGTCCGCTTGGTTGTCTGCCATTATTTCTGAGTGAACTCTAAACCAAATCAAGCAAAATTGCGCTAGATTTTGCATGAAAATGATCTCCATTTACAGCAGCAACACAGCAATAGATTTCTTACCGGTAATTTCAGACTTGATTATATGCTACCCGTATGTTATGGTTTTATGGATTTTTGAGTCATCCTTCTCCATCCTTCCACCAGTGCAGCTTTTAACTCTATGACGGTGGTAGGCTGTGGCTGGGGATTATGAAGTCGTCTACCCAGTTCATCCCGGGCATGCTCAATGGGAGACATGTCTGGTCTAAACAAGAAAAGTCTGGATCTGCTCCTGATGCAGCTGCTAGGAACGCCTGTGCTTTCCTGGCAGTACGGGGACAGGCGTTGTCCTGCTCGAGCTAGCAAGGGGTTGGGTGTTGATGCGTGAATGGCTTAATCATGTGTCGGATGTTGTCTGGAAATTGGCACTTAGGTCGCATCCGAGGCCTGTCGATCCAGACCCCCCCTTCAAATAATCCCGGATATCCCCCCGGGGCAGGCCATGTTCAGCAGAATAGTATGGCATATTGTTGGCACTCATTCCTTTTGGCACTGAAACTGCATTTCTAATCCCTCCAGTTTTCGGGATTAAACATGATTCATAGGTAACATTATCCATAGGTTGAAAGTAAGAATAATATTTTCATCGCAAGCTTAAAGTTTACATACATTTCTTAAATGACACGTGCTACAGAATGACATGAATTCGTGTATTCTTTAGGGTAGTACAAAACGATGAGTTTGATGATACGGCATTAGACAGAAATGTATGTTCCTGTAGCCTTATTAAAATAATAATGGTAATAATATTTTTAGGATAAAGGATGACTGGTCTTATGATGACTTCATGGTACAAAAGGGCTGCGAAGTACATTCGTTTGATCCAACGTAAGTCAGTTGATTGTGAAAGTGAAGTCACTATACTGCTATGGCATTTTTTCTATTTATATGTGAAAACAGAAGTAAGAAAAAAAGAGAAAAAAACTATGCCTTATAAACTATTCGCAGCAAAGCGGGCGACTCATTTCGTAGAATTCTTGTTATATTATTTTAAAATTTGTTTGACAAAAGGTAAAACGAATAATTGTCATATTGTAGGCGTGATTATTCAGTTCAAATAAAATAAACAAAAGCATGCTTGCAGTATTTATCGTCCTCATCTCATGTCATCTAATGGCAATATATTTCTACCTTATGAAGAATAGGCAAAGAAGACCATCAGAGAAAGCCACGTAATTTTTTCCATAATTTGGGTTTAAGTGGTTTTGATGGAGTGCAAGGATTTCCAGTGAAAAAACTCAGCACCATCATGCAGATGCTTGGTCATACAAAGGTTAGGACAAGAGCGCATTCCGAGAGCTTGAGATCGATCCAAATAGATCGACCTAACTCTCTGAGGGTTCACGCTAAATTGCTGTCAGCCGACCGCGCACGGAAGTTAATTACCCCCTTACAGCTTTAAGTATAGGCGGGACAGATATTTAAGCCGGCTAAGCTGACAGTAATCTAGTGAGACTCCCCACGGGGATAAATCGATCTAAAATTTGTGGGAATGGGGTCTAAGAGCTTATTTCCAATTCAACTATCGATCTACGTAGGTCGATCCAACTCCGTGGGGAGTCTCGCTGAATGCAATCAGATTGTCTCCAAAGCACTGGTGTAATCATCAGTTGTTCTTTATTCTGCTCAACACCAGGAGGAAGCGTGTTGATCTGCTAGTATGATTGCATTCTGCGAGAGTCTCCGCGGACTTAAAACTGTAGTTACATTGGGAATGGGTCCTAATATGGTCTGAGATTGTGTGATGTTAAAAGCCTGTTTGTGACATTTTATTTGTGATTTTTCACCAGTTAAACTGGTTCCAGAATTTAGGTGTTCACTTGTTCTCGCAGTGCCAGCAGACCAATTCTTTCGCAGCAGAATCCAATAACCCAATCAAATACGGAAAATGCTAAAAATCGTGAGAGTGGATAAACTGATAGGAAAGTTTATTTGTTGTTAGCGATTACTCTTTGTGGTCGTTTACTTATATAATACTTACACGAGTTTTGATATTATCAGCGGAAACTATCACCAATTTAACTCTTGAAATATCGTAACTGTTTCAGAGAACCATAGACTTTCTAAAATTCGACATCGAACTGTCGGAGTGGTCTGCTATAAAGACCATGATAGAAGATAGAAGTATACTGAAAGTAAAGCAGATGGCCGCTGAGCTCCACACACCGTTTAACAGTCGTGTTATACCTACGATGGAACAGATGCAGCTTATCAAGGACTTGAAGAACACTGGATTCAAAATATTCTTTTCATCGTACCAATTCAGTCCTCACTGCAGGAAATTTTCTCCTCAAACGAAGCGTCTCGTGCACGCTTTTATAAATATACATTTTGTCAACACGAATTTTGTGAACGAGAAGCGATAAAAAGTTACTGTATGTCAGTGGATAAGAGGGTTGCATTTCTGACTTTTACTTTATATATTCAAAGGGACCATCTTATATAAGGTTGTTGCTAATGAGAGAAATACTATTCCCATTCTGCTTATTTAATAATAATAACAACAAGTACGCGGAGAGCTTAGACTTCCGCCAAGGACTTTACACAAATAAATTGTGATAGTTGAGAGCATATTCATTGCACAACGGTCAAAGTTATTAGTCCTATGTCGCAGTGATAAAGAATCCCGTATATTTTCCAGATGGTAGGCCTAATACGGACAACGATTCACTACAAAAATCTAGTCACTTTGAGGGTAGTGATTCCTAGTAGTGTATCCTGAAGATTTCATCAAAAACCATGACATACGTTTACAGTCAGGCTCGTGACAAACAAAAAACAAAGGGAGGTGGATTCAGTGTAAGCCTGAAGAAAGTTAGTTTTGAAATAGATTTAAAACAAAATGAGGAATAGTACCGGAATTTTGAAATTATACAACAGCAAATTTGATCTATATTTCTTGTAGTAGATAGTTTGTTCCGTATGTTATATTAAGTTCTTATTCGCCAAGAGAAAACCATATCTACAGAGCGTGCACTGAGTACAAACACATGTACAGTATATATCTCAGCGGGCTTCGAGGTAGTCTTGGTGATATTAGCCAAAAATAAAATATTTTGAATTCATGTATGGTTTTTTATTGTATTAAATCTATAATTTAAAACAAAATTGAACTGAAATGATCTACCATACATGTACATGTTTCCCGTGTAAAAGCTTCAAATAGCAGGACTTTTTTAAACTGATCTCGAACACATATCATTTGATCATTTTTACTCAAAACAAATTCTTGTCGGGTAAGGCATGGTTCTTGTATTAACGAGAAAATTGACGGATTTGACGGAAAAAGGTCACGATCTAAGTGAAATTGTGAAAAATAAAACCTGGCTTTTAATATTTCAATATTTCTAATCAGATAAAGTAGAGCATATTCGTAATAACACACAAGTGTTTACATTAACTCAAAGAGATGTTTAACTTCCTTTAATTTGTCAATTACTATTGAATTGATGACAAACTTATTACAAATAAAACAGTACAACATTCAGCCTCGGCAGCTCACATTGTACGTGCCGAAAGCTTGGGGCATTTGAAAAACGCCAAATCTTACCGGATGAATGATTCATAGTTTAGCAACTGTAAATTGAAGTGACTATGATAAAAATTAGAACGGTTCTACTGTAATTAAAATAAACATGAGCGATAGATGTGATTCACAAAATAATGCGACGGGTATGGCACAGTACTCCCTAGTCGTACCTTCACAATCAAGCAGCTAACACAATCTATCACAATAATCGAGTCGCAGTTGACACAATGTATCACAATAATCAAGTCACAGCTAAAACAATCTATCACCATAATCAAGTCACAGCTAACACAATCTATCACCATAATCAAGTCACAGCTTACACAATCTATCACCATAATCAGGTAACAGCTAACACAATCTGTCACCATAATCAGGTCACAGCTAACACAATCTATCACAATAATCAAGTCACAGCTCACATCTAGCTCTATCTGCTCCGTGCAATGTCGGCTACTTCATATATACATTCAGCATTGCAGCCATTCCTTTTACGGTTTCACTTAACTGGTTTAAGGATGTCTTGAGACCACATAACAATCATTAATACAGTGTACGTGTAAAAATGTTGCCTTCCGTGAATGGAAGAGAGAAGGTTCAAAAGGCTGCAGACATGTTGTCACGTGATTAGGCCCTGCGGCATCAGGTCATGTGACAGCAAGAAAGATCTAGATTGGCGTAAAACAACGGACAGTGACAGTTAGACCTTTTTATTGTTTTAAGTGGTTCCCGTCTTTGTGCACAAATAATGTAAACCATTTATAATCTGTCCTCAAAAAACTTTGTTTTGACAAAATACAGGTTTGTATAAGCATGCCTAACAATTATCCTTCCTTGGAATAATTATTGGATTTGAACAATAACTGCCAGAAATGACAGTGATATTTCATCGAAACCATTAAACTAATCCTATTTACAGTAAGTTATGGGGATGTCATTTCTTTATTGCCTCTCTTTCAGAAAATTAGTATTGACAAAATGTATATTTATAAAAGCGTGAGCCAGGCGCTTCGTTTGAGGAGAAAATCTTCTGCAGAAAGGACTGAATTGGTACGATGAAAAGAATATTTTGAATCCAGTGTTCTTCAAGTCCTTGATAAGCTGCATCTGTTCCATCGTAGGTATAACACGACTGTTAAACGGTGTGTGGAGCTCAGCGGCCATCTGCTTCACTTTTAGTATACTTCTATCTTCTATCATGGTCTTTATAGCAGACCACTCCGACATTTCGATGTCGAATTTCAGAAAGTCTATAGTTTTCTGAAACAGTTAAAGTATTTTAAAAGGCAAATTAAAGATGGTTTCCACATTTTTAAAGTAATACAAGTGATTGCACATTCTTGGCAATATATATCGACTTATGTATTCACGCTATCTCACCCCTGGGTCACTGACCTTTGTATGACCACACTATCCCATACCTGGGTCACTGACCTTTGTATGACCACACCATCATGCCTGGGTCACTGACCTTTGTATGACCAAGTATGTCCATGATGCTACTTAGTTTCTTCACTGATACATTTTGCTTTTTAATCAGCTTCAATCCATCGATACCATCTAGGCCCAAATTATGGAAGTAATTGTGGGTATGTCTCTGATAGTCTTCTCTTCCTATGCTACAGACAAAATATTGAATTTAGATAGATTATTCAGTTAGGAAAAAAAAGCGACCGGCATATAAAATGTTATTTGCTTCATGTTTTTCCAAGTCAGAGCCGACAACTAGATAATCTAAATAGGTTTTACCATTTCTTGAACGTAAAGCCATTTTTTGAAATATGAACTATTCTGATCAAGAAAAATATAGATTTTTCATAGCAATATAACGACTTAACTTACGTTGGATCAAACGAATGTACTTCGCAGCCCTTTTCCACCATGAAGTCATCAAAAGACCAGTCATTTTTTATCCTATCAAGTTAAGGATATTATTTATTTTGAGTAGTGTGAAATGGTAAAATAACATTGGTCGTAGTAGGGCCTACGTGTACAGGTAAAAGAGATAAATAAATAAATTTATTAATAAATTGATAAATTAATGTTAATGGTTATGAAAATTTAGCAGTATATTTAGCAAATATACCCAAAAGAGTAGACCAGACACTGGTTTCTCTTGATGTTAAACGGCGGGTCCAAGCATACTTCCCAGCCGCCTTCGTCTATGTTCCCAGCACGCACCCGTTCACGGCAGTCGTACTGTTGGGTAACGATATATCTGCAAAGGGAAATATATGCCAATCCTAATAGACTCTATACCGCAAAGAGTCTCATAATATTGTAATAGGAATAGTATGAAGTTATTACATGTGCATAATTTTGCTGGCTTGAAAGTCATCCCTGAACACTGAACGCCAACATAAATAATAACTACACAAATATTTTGCAGTTTTGGTAATTTTTTTCAATAGTACAGGTAGAACAATTTTCATTTTACCTGAGATAGTCCATTTCTAATATATCATACTCCTTCTTCGTCATACCATTATAGACCATCGTCTCTCTGTCATCTACAGGTAGCTGTACATACACAAAATCGTTATCTTCGTCCAGTTCCACAAAGAAAGGATGGGTGTATTTTGACTTGCATTTGGCTCCACCGGCTTTACCTTGCCCCTCACTCACTGCCTATTGCAACAATTCAATTAAAAAAGTGACTTTGGACAACCAACATGTTAATGCGTTCCAAATTGCAATGATTGAATTTCGGATGTATCAATCTGGTCATTGGAGTTTAACTTCCCTTAAATAATATAAGCGGGAAACTTGCCTTTGCTTCCCTTCCTGATTTTGTCTCATGCCTTGCTGCCGAAGTAGTCCTCCAGATTTTCCTTTTGAAAACCATCGTCACTGATACGATGGCAATACCTATCCCGACTGCTACTAGACATCTACAGGTAAGGCGGCTATACAACTTCATTGTCCAGCATCGAGCTTCTCTGCAATACTAGGCGGTTAAGCTCCCTTTTCTAGCACTATTCATATGAAATTTCAATGTGAATCTGAGGTTAGACTTTATATAACATATACATTATTGATCAATGAGTTTATTTCTCGTAAGTTATACAGTGTGTCGCCTTAATCGGTTACATAGGGGCTCAATATAAAAACCTATAAACCACTTAAAAATACTGTAAGTATCATTCTTTCGGTATTACACTGTATCTGTATTTATCAAAATTATTTCTATCTCTTTATCCTCTGCATTATCTGGATTATAATTTACAAAATTTATTATATATATATTTATAATTAACATAATTTATTTTCAATATTCAGGAAGCTCGCTTAAACAGACCTTACTGGTCGCCTTCAATTATTACATGCAACAGATGCAGATTTCGGAAATGTGCTATTACATGTCTTTTTGGGAGAAAGTAGTCAATTTTATGAATGGAAATGAAAATTGATCTGAAATCAATGTGACCAGTTACGGCAAGCTACTAACTGTAGAATGAATTAACCCATGCCTGCAATGTGAAGCAACTGGCGGAGAGACTGGCTCATTTTTATCCTGTCACGCGGCCAAAAATCTATAACTTGTCTAGTAAAGTTAAAACAGTTTTACGCAGTGCTGACGTATTCTGTTGCATCTCTTCGGCATAATGTTTACATGAACAAGAATGCATTGTTAAAGGCAGAAGCGGAGGAAGTACAATGGACATTGTGCTTTCACTTCTCCCAAATTAATGCAAGCAGTGCGTATGGGTCTCTTATTGTTGTTGTTATTTGTTCGCAATGGCTGTATTGCGTCTCTATTCATCAAAACCATGCATACGGTAAACGCAGTCTGGGCGAAGTGGAACATGCAGGTACACAAGCCTATTACAAATGCGGCTTTATATACCTCAGTGTGACAGCTGGAGAGAACTGAAGGAGAAATGTTCAGTGCCGGTAACCACATATACTGTATACAAGCATATTGCACTGATACAATATACATGTATATAGGCGAATACTGTACAAGACTAAATAGTAGTAAGGCGGGTTCTACACTAGCTATTACAAACAGTAAGGCGAGTTGTAGACTAGCTATTACAAGTAAACAGTAAGGCGGGTTCTAGACTAGCTATTACAAGTTAACAGTGAGGTGAGTTTTAGATAAGCTACTACAAGTTAACAGTATAATTAAGGCGGGTTTTAAACTATTACAAGTAAACAGTAAGTGGGGTCATAAGCTATTACAAGTTGACGAGACATTCAACAGGTAGCCTACATGTATGTAAACCAAATATGTGGTTCTATCATAAATGCAAACTTTTGAGTTTTAACTATACTTGTAGCAAATAACAAGATTATTAGTAAACTAGCCAAATAATTTCCAGGTAAATCTTGCTGCTTGTATTTTGTGGCAGTCAACTAGATCGGTGCACAGTCCCTAATCTGTAGGGCCAGGTGAAAAATCGAAGTCTAGAAAAAAGCCTTTCGGTTGTCATGTCAGGTGCTAGTAGACAACACCACCACCAGAGGTCAGTAACCTCGCAAAGAGACCAAGGTGATCCGAGGGCGTCAACCTCCCAAAGAAATAACCAGAATAATGAGCAGCAACATATTCAGTTGCAGTCACAAACACAGAGCCGACATAGTTTCACAGACCAAGAAGAGGGGGGACATCACGCACGGGCAGAATCAATCGAGGCGAGAAGTCACTATGGCAGCTCCATTTATTTGAGAAGAGACTCGACGGATTCACCTCTTCTGTTCGAAATGCGAGGAGTGCTATCGAGCCCCCCAAAATCTGACATTACAAACGCCAGGCTTGTCGAAGAAGAGGCCAGAAGTCACGCGCCTCGGGCGGAAATGGAAGAGAAAGTTTGCAAGTGTACGCAGCCTGGAAGTTCATGTTTTCTACCCACTATGCACTACAACGGAGTAAAGTGTGAGCACCGTACATGTGCCGCCAGGGAGCAGCACACGATTGTCTTACCTCCTGCGTTTAAGGTAACTTTAATCCGATGAATGCTGGACCTTTATGTGGCGTTTCTATAATTTTCTTAGAAAATCCAAACTCTTTTCTTTTTAAAGAATTGAAAGAAAAAAAATACGAAGAAATTTCCCAATACACAAAACTGTCGGCTGTGGAATGCTACGCTCGTGATAAGGTGAAACTTAATTTTTGTTAAGACATTATTGTTCAGACATTATTTCTACTTTATAAAGGTCTAATGAGCCTTTCAGTGAACTGAAAGATTTAACAATGGTTTAAAGTCGACTAAATATATTTTAGCCAAGGTCTTTAGGTTTGGACCAATTTTTGGGCTAAATTAACTGCTTTTTTTTTAAATCAATCCATTGTCAAATGCAGACAAAAGTACGTATAATGATATGCTTACCTAAAAAATGCGTCGGTTCACTTTTCGCTCACCAACAGTTTATTTTCCAGGGAACCAACATGGAAGGATTATTTGCACGACAAAATACCACAGATGGTACAAGCACGAACTTTTTTGACTCAAGTGCAGTGGACCCGAGTAAGTCTACTTCCATTCGTTTGCCTCAAACTTAAATATTATAAATACATTTTTAATGCTTCTTATCTTTTAAGAACAATTTTTTTAAGTTTGCCGCTTTTGAGTGATATTTGGTGAGTTTAATATCCATATCGCCATCGAATCCCGCACATTATTTCGTTTCCGTAGTTTGAAGATTAAAGTGCAATATTTCTTGAGGCGGAAATAGTGCTGATAGTCCTAAACTATCAACGACGTGGAACAAATATCTAATAAAACATAGAAAAGAAAATTATGAAATTTGAACGTTTGAAACTTTGAATGCATTGAATGCATACGCCAAGCTAGTGAAATAAGACTGTCTTTCTTTCCAGGCAGCGGAAAAACCTATTACTACAATTCCCGCACCGGTGACAGAACGTGGACGATTCAACATAATACCTAACATAACATGGATGCTGATTTTTGTAGAATAACTCGATCGCAATAGGAAGAGCATTTTGTCTAGCAAACTATGTCTCTAAAGTGTCAGAATGATCATAAATGAAAATTATCAAACACAAGCCGAAATACTTTCATACCGTTAGCTTACGACCAACCTGGACATAGATGTTGATTGATTTAGTAACATTTACTGAAGAAATATTAAATTAAAGGCGAGCTGTCATTTGTTAGTATGTTATGCAGGTTAGGTTTTGTACAGATTATAGGCAAAAGTCTGCCCTTTAATATTTTGTTGAGCTTTTTTGAACAATGCAAAGACACCATTAGGATGTGATCTGAGCCAGGTCCTAACTGGAATGTGATCTGGGCCACTTAGGAAGTGGACTGTATAAAGACTGTGACAAAAACATGTACACTCAATCTGGCCCTCTCCGTGAAAAAGGTTGAAATTTTCCATCTCATTAACGAAGCTGCCGTGGCTCCGTCGTAACTTAGCTGTCTTGGATACAGGCAGACACTGGTCCGAGTCCCAGCAGGTTTTATGACAATCTATTGCCAGAATTAATTTTTAAAAATTGCGATTGATTACTATAAGAGAAAACTCGTAAGTACGGAGGTTGGGCGTTTTAGTCACGTCGCAGTCAGTACCGTGCATGGATGTGTGACGACGCTACTGACTTTGTCTTGGTGGCGCGAGGTAATAACTAAACAATTCCATGTTTTCCCATATTCTTTATTATCGCTTTCTAACTACGCTATCTACAGTTTATTCCTCTACGTTCAACCTCTTACATCGTTCTCCCCGTCTACATTACATTCTTCGCTTAAGTACAATAAGGTCGTGTCANGATGCAAATGAGGAATATAAAGGGTCATCAATCATGTAAGCACAAAGTCACGAGTTCGAATCCCGGATGACGCACGTCAGTCCATCAGGACAACGATCGGCCCCCTGAATAGGGACGTCACGAGAACGTTAACGAATTTGGGTTGTCTCGCGGGTCTTAGCAAATTTCCTTTTGCATAAAAATACGGTATAATTTTAGAAAGTTTACATCTGTGTCGACAATTAAATTTCATCTCTTTTCAGTTAAAAGTCCTTTACTCCTTTTAACAGGCACACATTTTGTCTTTTTATGCCCCTCCTTTAATATATTCGGCCCTTGCTTCTCAAGTCTGTTCATATGTGAACAGCTGTGCATCTTACCGTGCTCTTTGACATCAAAGGTGAAATCAAACCCAGCAGTCATAGTGACGTTGGATCAACGTTGAAAACAGGTAAATTGCCGTTGATCTACATAAATTCAACGTAAGATCAACGTTGATCCAGACACATCAAAACACCGCCATAATGTGACGTTGACTCAACGTTGTTGTTTGGTCGTCGTGATGCAAGACATGGATTGTAATTTAAAATATTAATTATTGAAAACGTGATACTTTGTTTATCAATACTGTAACTAACTTTACAAAAATATTAAAAACGGTTGTGTCTTTAGTGAACTAGTGAATTTTCTTAATTTGTTATTCAGAAATGCATTCCAATAAACTTCCTTACAAAGTCAGCTAACACTGGGATGAATAACTCGCTGTAAATGTGATGGAGTGATGTTAACAAAATTGATAGTTCTCGGTACCCTGTTATAGATAGATAGGTTTAGGTGATTGTGACTTTGTTATATATATATACACTAAACCTTGGAAATCCTAACTTAAAGGCCATACATGTATACCCTTCATATATTTTAGCCATGAAACATGTCCTACTGCTCAACACATCCAGGCTAAAAGGGTTACCATGCTTAGGAGCTAAATGCGTTGAAAATATCAGACAAAGCAGGAACTTGGATGTTTTTATAGTCCACCCCTGTACGTTATAATTGTGTACCTGTTTTTTGTACCAAAAATAAAAACATTTCAGTTCATTTTAATGTCTTTTCATGCAAGAATGTTGTCTAACAACTGGAGTTGATACAATGTTGTTATCTGACGTTGATATGTAACGTTGTTATCTGCCGTTAATCCAACTTTCAAATCCAACGTTTATCCAACGTCTTATCAATGTTATGGTTCAAGGTTATTTCAACATTAAAACAACATAATTTGCTCGCTGGGAAACGTTATCTCAGTGCAAAACAAAATAAAAATGAAAGCATCTGAAGTCATCTAACTAGGAACGTTCAGAGCAGGCCAATCAATGAATGCGATCCAACTTGTTTTGATTCAGTAGCTTTTCCCGTATAACAGCACATCATACCACCTGTTAACCGTGTTCGGTAGAAAAACGATATCTCCTCGGCATATTTGCCAAATATGTTTTACTCAAAATTTCCATCACTGCAATCGCACCAGTAATTAAACACTTAAATGTTTTTTTTTTATTCTCTCCTGTTAGACTCTAGCTAAAGGTAAAACACGCCTGTTATGAACCGCCTCTAATCCCATTGTACTCTTTAATATCATAGGTATGCCAAAATAAATCTTAGTATAAAACAAACTCCGAGCTCCGTGTCGGGTTCTCAAACACGACTTCCTGTGCATTATGAACTTTACCGTTCATGTCTGGGACTGGGGTTTCGTGGGATGAAATGGGGCACCCGGATAATCGATTGGGATAGCAGATCTACACACGTACATCCAATCTGGCGCTCTCAGTGACAAGGTTAAAAGTTTCCATCTGATCTTCTCTTGTCAACGAAGCTGTGGTGGTTGAGTGGTAACTCTGCTGTCTTGCAGACAGGCGGGAACTCGGACGCTGGTTCGAGTGCCAGTAGCTATTGTGTCCTTCTTTGCCAGAATTAATTTTTAAAAATTGCGATTGATTACTATAACTAGGAACGTTCAGAGCAGGCCTATCAATAAATGCGATCCAACTTGTTTTGATTCAGTAGCTTTTCCCGTATAACGGCACGTCATACCACCTGTTAACCGTGTTCGGTAGAAAAACGATATCTCCTCGGCAGAATTATTTGCCAAATATGTTTTACTCAAAATTTCCATCACTGCAATCACACCAGTAATTTAACACTTGTATGTTTTTATTATTATTATTATTATTATTATTATTATTATTATTCTCTCCTCTTAGGGTCTCGCTAAAAGTAAAACACGGCTGTTGTGAACCGCCTCTGATCCCATTTAATTGTACTCTTTAATATCATGGGTAAAGCCAAAATAAATCTTAGTATAAAACAAACTCCGAGCTCCGTGTCGGGTTCTCAAACACGACTTCCTGTGCATCATGAACTTTACCGTTCATATCTGGGACTGGGGTTTCGTGGGATGAAATGCGGCACCCGGATAATCGATTGGGATAGCAGATCTACACACGTACATCCAATCTGGTGCTCTCAGTGACAAGGTTAAAAGTTTCCATCTGATCTTCTCTTGTCAACGAAGCCGTCGTGGCTGAGTGGTAACTCTGCTGTCTTGCAGACAGGTGGGAACTCGGACGCTGGTTCGAGTTCCAGTAACTACTGTGTCCTTTTTTTTGCCATAATTAATTTTTAAAAATTGCGATTGATTACTATAAGAGGAAACTCGCACGTACGGAGGGTGGGCGGGTCTGTCACGGAGCAGTCGGTAGCGTGCATGGATACAAATGAGACAGCCAAAGCGTCATCAACCTTGGTAACGCAAAGTCACTGGTTCGAGTCCCGGATGAGGCACGTCACGACAACGACCTGACCCCTGAATCGGGATGCCACGAGACGAGAACGAATGAGAGCTCTCGTGGGAATTAGCAAATTACCTTTTGCATAAAAATGCGGTATTCTTCAGAAAGTTTACATCTGCTTCGACAATTATATTTCCTTTCTCTTCAGTGAAAAGTCCTCATATTGGTGCCAAGATCTTGAACTGAAATTGAGCTAAAGCTAACTCCGTATGTTTTGCATTTCGTCAAAATGTCCTATCTTTTTGATGGGATTATCAGAGAGAAGACTTTAGATTTTTTACAAAAGTTGCGTCGCCTCTACTCCTTTGATCAGGCACAAGTTTTGAATTTTTATGCCCCTCCTTTCCTATCTTGGGCCCTTGCTTCTGAAGACTGTTCATATGTTCATACAGTACCCGGGGCAAGTCCGCAGTCCTCATTAGAAAGAGTAAAGACTACCCCATACTAAAACCGCCGAGGTGTGAACAGCTGTGAACAGCCGTGCTCTATAACGTCAAAGGTGAAACTAAACGTTATCTCCTCGGCAGAATTATTTGCCAAATATGTTTTACTCAAAATTGCCATCACTGCAATCGCACCAGTAATTAAACACTTGGGAACGGACTACGGTTCCTGGCGGACTCCTTTTCCTGTCACAACCGATAACTTTGATGCCGGCGAAGACACATATCCCCCCTTATGTAGAGGAGGACAAGTCAGCAGAATTATTTTCCGTGCTTCGATAAACTATCTTTATTCGCGTGTAAACTCTTTTTAAATTATGTGAACATTTACTTTTTCATCCATTCGTCAGTCTATTCTTTCATTCACCAAATCACTTCAAAGAAAATGAAAAGTATAATTATACACCGAAATTACTTCTACTGATAAATTTTTATTATAAAACCTTATTTAATGTATAAATAATGAACATGAATAAAGCAACGAAGATGTGCACAAGTATAGTTGCCCATATGGCAGATCTGAAATTCTCAACCCGAAAAATATTAATCTCTTATTTTTATCTAATGATTTGGCAAAATGTTAAATTTCTACTCCTTAATCTTCACCTTTTCTCACTTGGGATCAGGCAAAATGAGGTAAAATAAATTACTTCAAATATTAAAACATATTCCATGCCCGTTAGGGCCTTTATATAGTTAACCATAAGCCCTTCTTTCAACAATATTCAATGAATCAACGAGGCATATCCTATCCAACAATGTTGATAAGATTTCGATTTCAAAATTTACCACTGTGAAAGAAATCCTTAAAGGGATAATAACTCTTCGTATGATATCTATATTTCACAATTAAAACATTGTGAATAGCTCATAGAAATATATATATTTTGTTTTACCACAAAAACGGCAGTTATAGCTATTTTTTCTGATATCTGAGCTTGTCTTTAGACCACGTGACCTCCATTGATGGCTATACTCTGTTAAAATCTCTTAAGAGATTTTAACAAAAAACCAAACTTTTTAGAAAAAAAAACAGGGACTAACTTTGAATGTAAAAATGGATTCATTAACCATTGGTAAGTATGGAAAACTGTTGTTTACTCCAGGAAAATTCATTTTTTGGCCGAAACGAAGAGTTATTATCCCTTTAAGTCACCACCTTAAAACGACAAATTGTTACAAATTCAATCTTAGAACTCAAATATTGTGTACAGATCGTACTTTGTTAACAGTTTTGGATATGGCACACCTTGTCAAACTGATGTCATGCTAAGGCCCATTACTATTATCTCTGTACTATTATTTGCTTTATAATGTCCCCCGTTCACAATGAACCTCAAAACATAATAAAATATATTTCACACAGCAAAGTGTCATACTGAAACTTTAACTGCACCCTATCAAATTATGACTACTTTTGTAATTTTTAATTTTTTTAAAAAATTCATCAGACGAAATAAAATCTCAAGTTCTCCATAAAAACCAGAGGAAAATGCGCGCAATGAGTGAACGTTGATTGTTATTGTTATCAAAAATTACAATTGTCTTGAACTGCAGAAATTCTGTTTGGAGTAAAAAGAACAAAGTGTCGATGTCTTTGTCTTTTTAGTTTCAGATGTCTGGACTGAACAGTTCTTGTCAATTACTTTGATTACATACCTCCTCATTCTATGCTATATAGAAGATGAAAAAATAAGCTCAAGTACCACATATATTAAACACTGTGAAACATAGACAAAAACATAACGTCTGTGAACAGTTATTTTGAAAAATGTTCACGAAAATGGGAACCATACTATGTATAATCCTGTTGGTGGTTTAGCTGTGATTTATTCAAAACCCTCCACAAGATTCTAAAACGTAGGTATCGACTATACATAAACAGTTTTCAATATACTATGAACCTTGTTGAAAATTTACACGCCGCATTGCGTTTTCATGAAATATTCAAATATGTTCACGTCATCATATTTCAATAATTTAAAATGAATTTTTAAGAACATATTTTTGGGGAAATTCCACGCAGATTATTTTCACGTGATAGCCTGTTTCTAGTTCAGCTGAAGAAGTCCTTGACTAAATCTTAGTTACGGTAATGACTGGATCTTTTCAATTGGGGAAATTGTGAATTTTACAGGTACTGTATTTTTTTAACTCTTAATTTCTTAAAATAAGAGCAATCCTACTGAGTGGTGGCAACAAAATTGAAAAGCAGACTACCTTATAGCTCTATTCTGTGCATTAAAAGTACTACAAATGTTATATAAAAATATAATTTTTATGGTTTTAAAATGATGTAACTGAAAGTTTGATAATTTTTGCCCACTTAAAAGATTGAGTCATTACCATACCTCCCTTTCAAAACGTAAGCTCCAGTGCGAAACTTGATAATAATTCCATTTTAATATTTGTTTTAAACAGCTGGATAATCAGTCAAATCTTTCTTTTTGATATTAAAATAATTACAGTTCATAATCTGAACTTCTGCTCTAGAACAATGTCCAGTCCCTGTCTTAAATATCAGAGCCACACGTGATTGTGTCCCTGTTTTTTTACGAAAGGACAATCTGTGTACACGTCCCCGTCAGATGAATACAGGACACTTTTTGTTGGTTTGCAGAAACTCTGAACACAATTTTTACAGTGAATCTTTGAAATAACATGGATGTATATTAGCATAATTTGGAATAGATAATTGCAAAATACGCCTGAAAATCATGATTCTATAAATAATAATAATAATAATAATCATTATAATGATAATGAATATTCATATTAATCCTGCTTTTGACAGAACATGGAGCCAAGACAATGTGTGAAGAAATAACATGAAACCATCATCTAACTGGTAATAACACAACATTCGTACACAGTCCATTATTATATGAATCTAAAACACTTTTGTTTGTCATGAGAAATTCTGGTCTTGAACAAGACAGAGTCCACTCGGAACTGCGTATACAGCAAAGGCATGTAGCCGTAGACTTTGGCAAAGAAATTGATACATTTGTGGCGCTCCTGGAAATGTGAGTCGTCCACAGAGAGTGCTTGAGGGCAGCCGGGGCAGCGGAAGGTCCACCTCGAGGTCACCTGATGGCGAATAAAAACACAATAAAATTAGGTGCGAGATCATACAGTGTCCCTCTAGCCACAACACTTGGAACATCGGCAAGAGGTGTTCAAAGCATATATTACGAGAGGGTGGCAAGATATCATTTAAAATACATACTGAGAGAAACTTGTCGTATTTCACCATAAACTCCAGTAAAACCTACCAGTATTTATTTATTTATTCATGTTTTTTTTTTTGCACAATTTGATCACATCCGGAGTTTACCAGAAAAATTGTTGTTATCAACTAGGTACATGTAATGAAGTAACTTGCTGGTGCTAATGTGAATAACCATTATACCATACCTTAATGGGTGGCTGTCTGGTGATATGGGAGACCAAAAAATTCATGGCAATATCTTCACAGTTAAGGTACTCATCTACTTTATCCCTGATTGCTTGTGGCATTACATAACTGTACAAATACAGGTAATACTGAAAGTAAAGGAACAATATTATTTAAAATGCAGGTAAAACCGAAATAAAGTAATAAATAAAATGACATTTTAAAGAAATACAGATTATATTGAGAAAAGATAAATGACACAGACTTTTGACAAATACTAATAGTTTTATATAACTTACATTATTTACTTTAAATATTATTTTTTGAAAAAATTAACAAATATGGACAATAATGACAATGAAAAATAACACTTCTAATTTAAACAGACAATCATACTGCCAAACCATGCAGAATTTGTAACGTTAATCAGATCATGAGACGTGATCGGTATATACTCATTAGGGGCCATACAGAATACGGGATTAACTAGTCCGAGGGTCAAATATGGCCGACCCACTTGAATACTTTCCCACGGGGAATCTATTCAGCGTCTAATAGCGGATTAGACGGCAAGCTTTGTAATGGGTTGCCATATTTGACCTTCAGACTACTTAGTCCCCTATTCTGAATAGAGTCATTATATTACCTTGTGTATAAATGCTGCCCCTGTCAGGACCATGGAGAGTTCACAGGAGTAATTGGAGTTATAATGCCAGCCCGTGTGCTCCACGTCCCAGGCGTGGAATCTCCCGGGGAACCCTACCACCCTCTCTCTGGCCTCGCGCCACACCCTGGGGAGAAAAAGAAGGGGGAGAGGGGTAATTACACAGTGAGTCAGAGCTACAAACAGGTTGATATCAACTAATTTCAGCCACTTGTCCTGGCGGAAAACTATGTATTAAAATCTACTTGCACCCCTCCAAAATTAGTTTCTTAAAACCTCGGGACTTCACATAGAGAAAGAGGTGGGGGTGCTTTCTCAAATTTAATCTACGTTGGGTTACAAGCGATCCATTAGCAAGACACTTGTGTTTGCAGGCAAATGTGACCTAAATTCTAGTTGTTCGCCTGCAGAACTCGCTTGCTCCTTTCACGTTACCTCAATAGCCTGATTCCTATTGTAACAGTTACTGCAATATTTAATATTTATCTTACAAGCCAAGTTCATCAGTGAATACATATATCTAAATGTGTTACAGTTGTTCAATAGGTAGCAGGCACGATTACTGGTTGCTACAAAAAAAGTTAGAAGAAATACATACTACCAGTACTTTTCACAAGTGACCGTACCTGAATCCAAACACAATTTCATCATGGCGCAGGTGGGCGTCATCGTCAATGGAAAGAACTGCCTCAGTTTCAATGACATCGTACGGCAGGAAGCGATTATTCAGACTGTTCTTGGATGTCTTCACCACCTAAGATGACAATAAATTGTATTTGAAATAAATATTTCAAAATGATAATAATAATAATCACAAAGAGATAAACAAAAGTAATAATAATTCATGAAACTAGCTTTATGTTGTGAGAAAAATGTTGTTCTGGATCTGAGGGAAAGAATTCAAAAATAAGATCAAAATCAAATAGTTTAAATAAATTAAATTTTTGTCTAAAAATATACATAACTAAGACCAAAATCAAATAGTTTAAATAAATTAAATTTTTGTCTAAAATATAAAAAACATCAATTCAGCACATTACATTGTGTTAGAACTTCAGACAAAGTACTGACACTGGTTTTAATAAATATAAATTAATAAACCAAAACCTTGTACCTTTTTAACTGAGCGGGACCACAGGAATTTCTGGAAAATCATTCTGTTTCTTTATATTGTACTTACATGTACTGGCACACCTATATCAGGCCAGCGCAGGTCTGGCGATGGCCTTCCAGGACTGTTCCAAACGACCACAACTTTATTGAGAAATGGTAATCCTTTCAGTCTCTGTATGGCATTAATGAGGACTGATTCTCTCTCGTATGTGAGCATCACAACTGAAAAATAACACAATTTAATTTTTTTTTTTTTTTACTTTGTACTTCCCACAAATTTATTTAGAAAGGATTCTGCACTCCCCCCTCCCTTTCAATACAACCCTGAGCCAAAATGTCCATCTCTGTTAATTTAACATTTCCACCATTTCGTTTCTGACTGAATAAGTTAAAGAAAATTAATTCATTATCAATGAAAAAATAATGACCCAGTTTTTTTTTAAATAAATATTTACTAGTAATTCATATCTTACTGGTAAACTGTTCTCGAGGCAAATTTCCCCCCAGTGCCTCGTTAAATTCCTTCCCAGAACCCCCTGCACCTTTCCCTATTGGACGGAATCCCAGCCCTGAACCTGGAAAAAATTATTAAAAATCGATTTTATTTGAGCAAACTGGTTTATGTATGAAAAATACCAATATATCTTATTTCAAGTTAGAATAAGCCCATTTATTCCTAACTACTGAAAAACAATTTCAGTTAAAGAATTCATATATATAAACTCTTTGTGTAAGAAAACCTTTAATGTAGAAGTTAATGAAGATAAAATATATATATTTCACTTTTGAAATAATATTTACATTTTTAATTGTGTCTGTACTTTTTAGTCCCTCTCATGCATTTTATCAAGTTATCACATTGTAAACTATTTCTTAGAGCCAGACTGTAAAAAACTTCTTTTTTCTTGAACATAGGGCACTATAATTTTATAAAACTGTGCCCTCATAGATTTTTTTATTCTAAATGCATTTTTTCAGTTTTAATACTTACCCAGAAATTTAGCTTCAGAGCCAAGTAGAGGTTGGAATGGCGTGTGAGGATAGAGATGGAAAGGATCACCAGGGTGATGAAAAACTTCACGCGATATTGTGAAATTCCTAGTATATTCCTGTGATGGAAATGGCGGCTCCGTTGGCCCTAGAACCTCATCACTCTCTGGTTCGATATCAGCAGCATCCATTTTTAAAGGCACCGTGGAATTATCGAAAATACTTGGTGATGGTTCAGCTTTAGTGGGTAATGGAGGAATCTGCAATCTAAACCTTAAAACTGCTAGTAATGTATTCAGTATGTGTTTTGTGGAACCCATATACTGCTCGAAATATAATCTACCTGTGTATCTCAGCTGGAAGAGGTCTGGATCGGATATCGTTCTGATGAAAAAATGAAGCTCTGTTATTCTGGCTGAAGGAACAATAATGGCTGCCTGTCGCCAGTCGAGAATATCCTCAAACGGCAACCGCAGGTGCTCACCCACGATGACTGGCACTGCGCCGTATTTCAATGCCTCGTAAAGCCTCGTTTGAATGGAAATTGTTGACACCAGACTGAAATTGCTTGGTGCCAATATGAGACTGAATGTTGACTGTTTAAGAACCTCGTGTCTCTTCAAATCTGGAGAACAGAGAGTCCAAACTGTGGGTTCATCTTGGACTCCCTCTTTATCACAGCTATACTGAAAGAAGAAACTGTCTTGCGTGGACATGTACATTTTTTTCAAAGTACTGACCACAAAAATATCATCGCTAGTAATCTCCTGAACAGAGAGTATGTGCCTGTCATGGTTATTTGGATTTACAGTCAAAATCCTGGCACTGTTTAAGTCCCCTTGATTGGAGAACACTCCATTCTGAATGTATTTGTCTCCTCCAATCTGATTGGCTAAGGTCCCATTGCTCCCGCGCCTTGTGTACTCTCCAATGAAAGACAAGAGATACTTCTTCCTCAATGGCACCAGACTTTGCAAATCGTCCCACAAATCTCCAGAAACTCTCCCAAAATTTGGCGGGAGGACGATATCAAATCCTGGCCTAAATTGGTTAGCAGTGAAAGAAGACTGGGCCAGCATGGCGCGCCCTGTGTTAACACCCTGAAAAATGTCTCGATGAGTATTAGTCATAGCAAGGTTGAGTAATATGTGATTTCTACCATCGCCTTTCCAATGGGGTAGATTATACAGCTGTTCCTGAAAAGCAGCTTTGTTGTTGAGGACGTTGGACTCTCCAACAAGCACTATAAACACACAGGCGGCAGTTGCATCATGGGTCCTGTATGGCGTTCCACCCAGGACACTTTTTACAGCCTCCTTTACTAAAGAGTTCAACTCTATTGATGGAAAATCTTTGTTGTCAGGATTGTAGAAATATACTGGGAACTGTGATGATAACGCACAACGCGAGTAATCAAAACATGAGTGCATGCTGCACGAATGAGGTAAAAAAGGTGGCGAAATATACACCTCGTCATCAGCACTGGGCAATATTCTCAGTGGAGCATGAATTTCTGGCATGTTTCTCTCTGCAGCTTCGGCCATAGCAATCCTGGCTTGCTCAATGCTAACTTTCAGTTTTTCCAGGTCCTTGTTTGTCGTTTCATACTGATTTTTTAATTTCTCGATGTGGGTATTATATCCTTGAATTTCCACCCTCAACTTCTGCTGCCGACTTTCCATCTCAACCAACTCTTTATTTACGCTCGCCTTTATTCTTTTCAATTCCTCAATTTGTGACCTTAAACTCGATGGTTGCCCACAGCAATTGGGCTCTTCATTGTGATTCATGGTAGACCTTGATCTTCGACCTTGACCCAGTTGACCTTCGTCCCCGATGCTGGATAAATAATAATGTGCTACCAAGGGAACAGTGATCAAAATGATTGACAGAATTATGATAAGTTTCCATAATTTGATTCGATTTAGCCACCCACGCCCTCTGCTGGAGATATTCTCATAGGACGCCATCTTGTTTTGTAGGTGAACGATGAGCTCACATCAACAAGTAACAGAGATGGTACTAGTAGCCTTACCTCTTTGGTAAAAGCATTAGGACACCATTGTTGCAGAATTTATGTCATATTTGCTTAGAAATCTGAAGACTTATTACTGTGGTCTTTTGACAAACATTAGGAAATAGTCATTTTTCTTTGGCGTATCATGAATTGAATTTCTGAACCATTCTGTTTACTGGATGTCATTGTTACTGTGATCAGCAAACGAGTTCCCTTGAAAGTACCATGGGATTGGCTCCAATATGTCATAATAACTGATATTCCTTACATTTGGTCCCAGGAAGAAAGCAGGTTCTACATCTTCTTCACTTCATTTTCAAAGCCTGAAAGAAGTATGAAATTAAAAATAAATCAGAAACCATGTTTAGATTAAAATCATCTATTATCTTATTTTAATCTTATATTTTCAGGATTACTTCTACTTGAGTTTATCTTTTTTTGTTTTTACTGTTTTTTTTTTATTTTTGTACATAACAAAATTTAACTTTAAATTCTAGTATGCTCATGCATTAAGTACTCTCTTCAGTGGAAAAACTGTTCCAGTCTCTTATAATAGTACTTAAACACTAGTAGAGGAGAACAACTAGCCTAAGAGCAAATTAAAATTAAAAAATAAAATATTATATACAACTATGTCAAAAAAACATCACACATGTAGTGCACTACATCACATAGCTTTACATCTGAAAGTTTTAAACCAAGTCCCTGAGAGATCTATCAATAACTGTGACTTTTCTACTCTTCTACTCAAAGCACTTCCAGAGTAGTCCAAGAAATTTTCTGAAGGCCTAGTAAAAACTCAGAAAGTGCCTCCAGAGGTCATTTTCTTTAGCCAGATTCCTTCTTAATCTTTTCCTTAATCTCTCACTTAATCTGGCATGTGTTTTGTGGTGTATTATACCTGGTCAGACAGCTGTTTGTCCATCACTGCCCATTAGCTGTCCATTAGCCGTCCAATCCAGGTAATTATCAAGGTGGATCTTATTAGTGTTTGGATGAAACAAATCCAGGGTCCAGTTTTCACAGAAGAGTTTTGCAACCGAAAGCTGATATAATTTTTTGAAAAATAATACTTGAGTCAACTTTGACCCAAAATAAATCAGTTGTATTCAAATTCAAGGCAATAAGATCCAACCTTAGCCTGTAAGCTGGGGTGGGGAGTTCTGGGGGGGGGGGGGGGGGGGGAAAAACCACCATTTTTGTTGGGAAAAGGTCAGCTCTAAGCAGAATTTGATCTAGATCAAATTGAGATTTTGTGGTAGAAGGTCAACTTTTTCAGAAAAAGACCCCCCTCACTTTGAAATCGCTGGCTATGGGCCAGCACCTGCCTTGTTTCAAGAAAGAAATGGATGTTAGGTCATCACAGTGAACTACTGCAGATAAATCTTGAACAGAAGTGGGTCTAAATTTTGGTGAAAAAGTTAAGACCAACTCTCGATCCAGTGTTCTGTAGTGGAAGCATGCACCCTCCAAGCTATCCTGGGGGCTGTGTGAAAACATGGAGGGCAGCTTTCTAAGTAAATATGTAAAGCTGTAGTCTTTAGTTATCTGTCTGACTGCTGGAATTAGCAAGGTTGATTTCATTTGCGTTCACATAGTTTTTTCCTTCATATCTTGAAGTCATCTAAACTAACCTTCAGTGGAAAATGAGGTGTCCTGGGTTTGGTGTAACTCTTTTTACATCCATGTTGCTAGTACTAGTGCACATGGCTTCTTTTTCCCTTTCTGTTTTCTTTTTAATAAGGGAAGGGTGTGTGTGAGATTTATAAGCTCTACAAATAATCTGATTTTTTTTTTTATTCAATTAGGACCTCAAATTAAAGCTATGGACAATACTAATGTGCACAATAGACAAGTTAGATTTCTCGTTCTAGTATGCCCATACTAGTACATTTATCTTTACACTTTTCCATTTTAATACACACATCAGGAAAAATAAATTGCCTGATTTGAACATCATCATCATCAATGTCAGCCTTGAGACACCACAAGTACATGCACTATGGGTTGGGCCCTGTGGCCTGATGGTACAACACCCAGTATAGAGATAATTCAATTAGAGAGAGAGAGTCTCTAACTAAATGAGGTCACTTAATTGTAGCCTGTCTCGGTTCTCGTTGGCTGTGATTGGGACTACTGCTTCCTCGGTTCCTTTTTTTATAGTCAGCCTATGAAGAAAAGGTCTCTGTTACATTCCCTTCGGACATACTAATAGTATATATGGAATACCAACAAAGCTTGCGCAGGGTGCTATGTACATTGTCAGGTTGATTTGAGAAACAGATATATATATATATATATATATATATATATATATATATATATATATATATATATATATATATATGCCAAAACTGAACACAGATCTACTATAACCATCAATTTCAGACAATTTTTTGGGATAATCTGTTCTCTATTATCAGTAAGTCAGTTGCTAAATCTTAATCTTCTTTTTTAATTTCAAAACAATATATCACTTTACAATATAGGCAAGCAAAGACCAACGTAGTGCATATTTTTGAAGGTTATTTTCTTTGTCTNCCCTTGGGACATACTAATAGTATATATGGAATACCAACAAAGCTTGCGCAGGGTGCTATGTACATTGTCAGGTTGATTTGAGAAACAGATATATATATATATATATATATATATATATATATATATATATATATATATATATATATATATATGCCAAAACTGAACACAGATCTACTATAACCATCAATTTCAGACAATTTTTTGGGTTAATCTGTTCTCTATTATCAGTAAGTCAGTTGCTAAATCTTAATCTTCTTTTTTAATTTCAAAACAATATATCATTTTACAATATAGGCGAGCAAAGACCAACGCAGTGCATATTTTTGAAGGTTATTTTCTTTGTCTGGCTATGTTTGAAGTGAAGTCTTGCCTCATTAACTTAAAAACCAAGACAAATTGAACTTAACCACAAATGATTTCATTGGCATTACTAGCCTGAGTACAGGAGTTTTCGGGCACCCTTCCTTTTAAGAAAAAAAAGTTCCCAGGCAAAACATTATTGGTGCAAAGATAACCCTTGCAAAACATGATTTTTAATCTTGGCAGGATTATGCAACTAGTGAGGAGACAGCTGCTAGCTTCTGGGAAGAATCTGATCTCATCAATTATCTTACTGCATCTAAACAGACAGCCGTGATAAGCTGTTCATTATGTGCCTCATTTCCAGCTGATTAGCACAGTTAAGTGAAGGTAGATTATGGTATCTGATATTTGGTGCTTCACAACTTCCTTTTCTCTCTTTCTCTCTCTTTAATTACCCTCTCTCTCTCTCTCATCCTATTTTTCTCTACCCTGCTGATGCAAAGTCTATAAAAATATATGAGGATGAATAATCCAAATTACCTCATGAAAATTTCCCTTACTAGTGCCCCTTGATTACTCTCTTTTTCTTTGATAAAATTGTCAAATTTTATGCCCCTCTTTCCTACCACTGCATACTAGACAAGGAAAAATATGAAGGGAAAGGGGGAGGAATACAAACTGCCTCCTGTATGAGTAGAAATATATATGTATAATTACATAGGAAATGATAAAGGGTAGTTTTATAGTAAAGCATCATAAATAATTGATAACAATTTATATTATATTGTGGCCTGGCCAACTGAAACTATAAAAGTTACAACTAACAATTTTTAAAAATTGATGGAAAACCATGTACTGTAAGACTTTGTGGCTTTCTGTATTTTGCCATGTTTTTTTGCTGGTTAAGGTGGCACATATGGCAGTGACATATGTCAATCAGCTTAATGTATGTCAAAAACCGAAAGTTAATCATCAGAAGTTGCCAGAAGTTGAAAGATTTGGGACCTCAAATGACCTTTGAAAAGCGACCCACAAGCATGCCATTTTCTTATCAACTCTAATAAAATTAGAAACTCTGCAGCAACAATAAACAACACCCAGTAAGGAATTTTAACATTTTTAAAGAAAGGACAAAAAAATTAAATGCATTCTTAAAGTCTCCAACACTGAGAGGATTGCCTTACAAAGGCCTTAACCCAAGGAAAACAAAAGAATGATTTATAGAAAACAATTGCACAGACTTAAAAGTATGTGCACTGTCTCCTTACATGTCAGAACTCATTAGCAAACAAGACGGTAGAACTCTCTTCCAAAACGAATGCTGTACATAACAAGTAACCAGGGGGCAAATTCAGTTTAAATTCATGGGAAAGAGGGGAAAATACTGATATTTCTAGGGTAACATTTTTTTTTACCTTTATCGATAGATCATTCTGGTTTTAACTTTTGTGCCTAATTACTAGTATAGTACTAAGTACGTGCATTACTGTTGTCTAACTGGTGATCTAACCATCTAACCCCCCCAACACACACACACACACACACACACACACACACACACACACACACACACACACACTCTCCGTGTAAATCTGCCCCTTGACACGGCAAACACAAATCAAGTGGTAACTTTACATACAATTTCACAGATGACTTACTTCCAGATGGCTTCAGAGCAATTTTTTACAAAATGCCACATGGCAGAAAAAAAGATACGGAAACTCGATAGCATGTTTGGAATTTGGTGTGTTTTTTTCCTTTACATCTGATTCTTACAAAAATTAACTTTTAAATGATTTGAAAACTGCAGATAGAGAGCTTTTTAAGTACTTCAAAAATTTGGTTAAAAAGCATTTTTTTTTCACAACATGACATGGAAAAAATTTACACAAACCTGATATTTTGGTTGAAATTCGATCAGACTTTTTCTTTCTTTCTTTTTTCTTCTTCCTTTTTACAACTAAAAGGCAATGATTTTCACAGAAAATTACAGAATACAAGCTTTATTTTACTTTTTTAAATGAGAATTGGACAGCTTTTAAAGGGTTTCTACATGAAATTCTGACCTTTTTTTTTAATTTCTGGCTTAGTAAATATATATATCAAAAAAAAGCAATTGAATATCTGGTAAGAATTTGCCCCTTTTGACACACACAAAAAATACAAGTATCCTCAGATATCTGCCCATGGATAGTCATCTTCAAAGAAAAAGGAAATCCACAGACACTTATTATGCACCAGAGAGAGAGAGAGAGAGAGAGAGAGAGAGAGAGAGAGAGAGAGAGAGAGAGAGATTTATACTTAATAATTTATACTTAATAATATTTAAACCAGTAAACATTTTATTACCTTTGCAGGATCTTCCCCACCTTGTAAGTCTTAGATTTTTGATAAATTAAGTTAGGAGGTACTTTTGTGGAATGTTTCTGTTAGTTTGGAAATTCACTCTTTTTTGAATTTTGAGGGAAAAAAAAGCAAGAAAAAAAAAGCAAAGACCTACACTTGGTAGTGTTGGAAGGTAGTGCAAAACTTAAAATTACCTTATTTCTGTCTCAAATGTGCAATATACTATTAGTTATCTATCCATTCCAGTGTGGAAGATATAAAAATGTAATATTCTGTGCTACCAATGGTTCTACTGATGGATGGGGAATACAATACAGATATTATTTTTTTTAATTTTGAAAGCATTTTAGTATCTTATTATTCGGTTTTTGACTATCTTAATCTTGTCATTTTTTAATATACTCAGTATATAGTTTTAGATTTTACATATATAGATTTTGTAAGTGTATATAGTCATCTCTCTTAAGTGGTAAATAGATAAAATAAATAAATAAGGCCACACATGATAAGTTGACAAAAATTCTCAAATCTTTTCAAGAATAGTGGTAAAATAATTGATAATCTTGACAAAAAGCGAGACATTTCCTACTGCAACGCAGATACAACTGAAGACCATTTCACTTTACATTTTCACTCCTCTGTTTGACTAGGAAACTACCGTGAATCAAATAGAAAAAAATTAAATATAACAGTGTTAGGGGCTGAGGTCAAGTGACAACAAATTTCCTCCGGTTAAAAACCAATCCAAGTTTCAATATCATATATATCCAATGCAGAACTGACCCCAACAAGTTTTCATAAATATTAAGAATTCAGTAGCTTTCCTTGTTCACTGATCCATCTTTGAGACAAATTGACAAAATAAAAGTTTATCTGTGAAGGCATGCACTCTTTAACTGGGAGAGGGTTGTACACACAATAATCTTGAATTAACGGGAAACAAATGGAACATCTTTTCCTTACCTGTATGTCTTAGCACTGTTCTCTGTAAGTACCTTTGAAACGCGGAATGGTTATTTTACTCTTACTACCTGTCTCTACTGCGACATATATATCTGCACTACTTGCTGTCCCATGAAATGCAACAGCCGGAAATGCCTGTCATGTCTTGGTTGATTGACCTGCCATCTGGTGACAGAGTGCTGCTGTCTTGTCTGAGTTAAAACTAAAAAAATATCAATCATATGTTTTTTTGCTAAAGTGGTAGTTTACACTAATTGAGCAGCCACCAACATGTCCAAGTTGCCTTTGAATTTTGTAGTTACTTTATCATTTTGACCTGGCACAAACAAATGATACGTTGAGGTACATTAGAAATCTCCTTTGGGCTAGTGATACTTGCCTAAATAGGTCACTTACACACAAATTGGGTCAGTGTAATCAGTTACCGCTCGTTATCACAACCATGGCCGAGACGCCTGCAGAGCTCGCGTTGGAGACGCTGAAGACGCTAATTTTTACAGTTTATTACCTGTTAGAGGCCTTTATATTGCTGTTTATACCATGGAGTTGGCGAATGAAAGACATTACGGAAGATACAGTGTTGGTCACTGGAGCAGGTAGAGTAAAATTAATTTTAGGTTTAGTCATCAATTTTTTTCTCAATTGGTTTACTAGTCATCACTTTCATTACATTATTATAACTATTATGTACACTTTTGCCATTATTATTTTTCTAATAACACCCGATGTTTGGGTTTGATTGAACCTTATAGTGAAGGTGTTTTATCAATAGAGATTCTATTTTTAAATGTAAAATATAATACATTAAAATTATCATAAATTAAATATATTATTAATTTAAAATATTATGATTATTTAAAATTATTCTCTAGAATCAGTTGTAGTTTTTGCCTGGCATTGAAGTTCATGTACTTGTACTGTACAGTTTATGATGTACAGGTCTTAAGCTATTGTTTGTGATATAAAACTTTAACCTCAAGTCAAGACTCCTAAGGTCACACCAGTTAGTACCAGGGAGAACATAATTTTATTTCATTATTTAATAACCTTTGCAAATTATTTAAATTAATGTAGATAAACAAACAAATTGATAAACAAATGATTTTTGAAAGAGATTTATTTATTAAGGGTTGTTGTTTTCCCAACAATTGGCTATTGGCATTGCATATGGACCCCACACCATAATTTTCTGACTTTTTCAGCCTGGCAGCCTTTATTAATTGTAAACTCTTATATTTTTGCCTTCTGTAGCTGGTTTGATTTGTGCTGCATCAAGTTTGGAGCACAGTAAAACCCCTCTGAGACAAGTTATGATATTATAGATATGTTTTATAGTATATATATATTTATTTTTTTTTTGTTCCTCTAATTATATATATTAATTAAAGTACTTACAATATCAGTCTATTTTTAGATTGTCTCCAAACCACAGTACTGAGCTTGACCACAGTATGATGGTAATAATAATGATAATAATTGATATTAACACCCCTCACTTGTATCCCTTAGGTAGCGGTATTGGGCGACTTATGGCCATCAAGTTTGCCAAGAAGGGTGCTAAACTAGTCCTGTGGGATATCAATGAGACGGCGATTGAAGAGACGGCAACGGAAATAAAGAAATATGGCGGCAGAGTGTTTACTTATAAATGCGATCTCAGCAAGAGAGATGAAATATACACAGTGGCAGAGAAGGTGGTTTTCATGATAGTGAATTTCTTTTAAATTGTTGAAAAATTATTTCTCATTTGCCTATAATTTTTGGTAGTTGGGTGTAATAATTGTTTTGATTTGAAATAAAAATGTTAAAACAAAGTCAGCTCAACAATGATTTGCCTTTAAAAGGTTGATGTATATATTTTTCCAGTTATTACCTTAGAAAAGAAAAAAAATATGTAAGAAAGTAGAAAGTTAGATACCAGTACTGGATACCTCAAGTAATAGAAGTTCATTATTGACAATTTATTTTAAATTAATATTTGTCCAGGTACTGTTAGTTTCAGATTGTAGGATATAATCAGCTTATGCCTCGATCAAAATTTCCATACTCCATGTTGTCACATTGTATACTTTGATTCTATTTATCATAATTTGTGTATTAAATTTCAGGTAAAACGAGAATGCCTAGATGTAGATATTTCATAAAAATTATTTTAAATTTTTAGAGGCAAATCGTTGTTGAGCTGACTTTGTTTTTACATTTTAATTGCAGGCATCCAAATTTGTATGTAAATATATAATTTCAGGTAACATTGTTTGTATGTTTCAATCCAGGTTAAACAAGATGGTCTAGATGTCACCATACTGGTCAACAATGCAGGAATTGTGACAGGGAAGAAGTACCTGGACTGTCCCGACAACATGATTGAGAAAACTATGGCAGTGAACTCCATGGCGCATTTCTGGGTAAGTGGTGAGGAAGTGGGGTTTGATGCTTGAAATTGGGTTGCTGTGTGTGTGTGTGCACGTGTGTGTGTGCACGTGTGTGTGTGTGTGTGTGTGTGTGCAGGTGTGTGTGTGTTGTGTGTGTGTGTGTGCAGTGTGTGTGTGTGTGTGTGTGTGTGTGTGTGTGTGTGTGCAGTGTGTGTGTGTGTGTGTGTGTGTGTGTGTGTGTGTGTGTGTGAGAGACAGAGAGAGAGAGAATGCAAGCTAGCTAGAGAGGGAGAGAGATAGGAAAGAAAAGACATGGAGAGAGAGAGAGAGAGAGAGAGACTGTTAAGGGGCAAGTGTTTGTCTCCATATGCATGACTTTGCTGGGTATGTACTGTACAAGTGTATGAAATAATGTGTGTGCTTATGTGCATGTATATATATGCATGTGAAGAAGAGAGTTTGTGCATGTGCCTGTGACAGAGCAAGATGGAGTGTACTAGTATGTCCATAAACTGATTAGAACTCCACGTACCACTCTGACCCATGGCTATTGTACATTTCTAACCTGACTTGAGTGATCAAACATTCAGGCCATGTGAGGCACTGTATTCTACAATGACAACAGAACCTAAAGGTCACTTTTTATCATTGTAGCAGGAATGTAGGAAATCAGGTCATAAAGTTGACCTTTAGATTATATACCAGTACACACACTGATACCAATTTTATATTTACTTGACACATTTATGAGGTTTCTGACATGTTCTCTCTGTAACAGAAGCATATGAGTTTTTAATTTGTATTTTTTGTTAATATTTACTTGACAGTCATATTTCTGTCTGAGCTATATCTTCTTACAGACCAAAAGTTTTATCTGTAGTGAAGGTTTTTGATTTGCATATTTTTTTTACAAAATTCAATATAGTTTTACATTGTATATTAACAGTGTACATAATATATGAGAGAAAGTGACAGGAAATTTTGGTGAGCCATATACTCAAGAAACTGAGTACATTGATTATGGGAGTAAATTGAATCTTAACCATATTATAACTTACACTTTAATGTATATGAGCTTCTGTGATAAAGTTTTCAAATGTTGATTATTTTTAATGAGTGGGGTTTAATCAAAGGACAGTTGCCTGAGGAATGTTTGATATCTGATTCATTGCAAATATTGATATAACCTGATATCTGGGGACAGTTTAACAAATGAACTTAAGCCTGAAGATTGGTCCAAAGTACAACACCCAAAATATGGTCCTCTTCAGTTCAAAATAGATTTATAGAACTTAATTACTAGTATTCCACCTTATTAAAGTATAGTCTTTCTTGTAAGAAAAAAAAAAAAATATATATATATATAAAGGCATAGCATTTTATTATTTTGTTAAATTGGAATACTATTGATTTATCTAGAGTAAAATTTGTTTTTATGTACAGACACAGATGTGTCTGTACATATAGCCGTCATCTGCGTCTGTCGTCGCCGCCGCCGTCGCCGTCGTCGCCGTCGCCGTGCACTTTTACCGATAACACGATAAGTGGAAAACTGTTTTTTCTCTTGGCTTGAACCTTACAGAACTGATGAATATTCATAATACGCAGGTCAAGTTCGAAAATCAGCATGATCGGGTCACTTATAGGGAATTTATGCTGTTTTTTCACTTTTTTCAGCATATATGCAGCACCGATAACACGATAAGTGGAAAACCATTTTACCTTTTGGCTTGAAACTTACAGAACTGATGAATATTCATAATACGCAGGTCAAGTTTGAAAATCAGCATGATTGGGTCATTTTTAGTGAATTTAAGCTATTTTTTCTCTTTTTTCAGCATATATGCAGCACCGATAACAACATAAATGGAAAACCATTTTACCTTTTGGCTTGAAACTTACAGAACTGATGAATATTCATAATATGCAGGTCAAGTTCAAAAATCAGCATGATTGGGTCATTTTTAGTGAATTTAGGCTATTTTTTCACTTTTTTTCAGCATTTTTGCAACACCGATAACACAATAAATGAAAAGCTGTTTTACCCTTTGGCTTGAAACTTACAAAACTGATAAATATTCATAATGCACAGGTCGAGTTTGAAAATCAGCATGATCAGGCCACTTTTATGGAAGTTAAGCTGTTTTTTTTCACTTTTTTTGCAGCATATATGCAACTCTGAAAACACAATATAAGAAAAACAGATAGGCCAATTGTCATTATACTCACAGGAGTGGTCAATCTTACTAAAACGCAGGTTGAGTTCGAAAATCAGCATAATCTGGCTATTATTTTAGAAGTTATACTGTTTTTTCACTTTTCCTCAGATTCATTTCTTAGGCATGTTAACAGTCTCATTATTGAAAATAAGATACATAAAAATGTTTGTTGGATATTTTCTGCATCTTTACAACATTGTAAGTTGATTATGTAAAAATGATGGTAAACTTGTTATCATGTATTGTGTAATAAAGTGTCAAAAATGGAAATAACTCATATCATTGCAGTTTGTCAGATTCANTCAATGTAGATAAACAAACAAATTGATAAACAAATGATTTTTGAAAGAGATTTATTTATTAAGGGTTGTTGTTTTCCCAACAATTGGCTATTGGCATTGCATATGGACCCCACACCATAATTTTCTGACTTTTTCAGCCTGGCAGCCTTTATTAATTGTAAACTCTTATATTTTTGCCTTCTGTAGCTGGTTTGATTTGTGCTGCATCAAGTTTGGAGCACAGTAAAACCCTTCTGAGACAAGTTATGATATTATAGATATGTTTTATAGTATATATATATATATATATATATTTTTTTTTTTTTTTGTTCCTCTAATTGTATATATTAATTAAAGTACTTACAATATCAGTCTATTTTTAGATTGTCTCCAAACCACAGTACTGAGCTTGACCACAGTATGATGGTAATAATAATAATAATAATAATTGATATTAACACCCCTCACTTGTATCCCTTAGGTAGCGGTATTGGGCGACTTATGGCCATCAAGTTTGCCAAGAAGGGTGCTAAACTAGTCCTGTGGGATATCAATGAGACGGCAATTGAAGAGACGGCAACGGAAATAAAGAAATATGGCGGCAGAGTGTTTACTTATAAATGCGATCTCAGCAAGAGAGATGAAATATACACAGTGGCAGAGAAGGTGGTTTTCATAGTGAACTTCTTTTAAATTGTTGAAAAATTATTTCTCATTTGCCTATAATTTTTGGTAGTTGGGTGTAATAATTGTTTTGATTTGAAATAAAAATGTTAAAACAAAGTCAGCTCAACAATGATTTGCCTCTAAAAGGTTGATGTAGATATTTTTCCAGTTATTACCTTAGAAAAGAAAAAAATATGTAAGAAAGAAGAAAGTTAGATACCAGTACTGGAAACCTCAAGTAATAGAAGTTCATTATTCACAATTTATTTCAAATTAATATTTGTCCAGGTACTGTTAGTTTCAGATTGGTAGGATATAATCAGCTTATGCCTCGATCAAAACTTCCATACTTCATGTTGTCACATTGTATACTTTGATCCTATTTATCATAATTTGTGTATTAAATTTCAGGTAAAACGAGAATGCCTAGATGTAGATATTACATAAAAATTATTTAAAATTTTTAGAGGCAAATCGTTGTTGAGCTGACTTTGTTTTTACATTTTTATTGCAGGCATCCAAATTTGTATGTAAATATATAATTTCAGGTAACATTGTTTGTATGTTTCAATCCAGGTTAAACAAGATGGTCTAGATGTCACCATACTAGTCAACAATGCAGGAATTGTGACAGGGAAGAAGTACCTTGACTGTCCTGACAACATGATTGAGAAAACTATGGCAGTGAACTCCATGGCACATTTCTGGGTGAGTGGTGAGGAAGTGGGGTCTGATGATTGAAATTGGGCTGCTGAGTGTGTGTGTGTGTGTGTGCGTGTGTGTGTGTGTGTGTGTGTGTGTGTGTGTGTGTGTGTGTGAGAGAGACAGAGAGAGAGAGAGAGAGAGAGAGAGAGAGAGAATGCAAACTAGCTAGAGAGAGAGAGAGAGGGAGAGAAAGGAAAGAAAAGACATTGAGAGAGAGAGAGAGAGAGAGAGAGACTGTTAATGGGCAAGTGTTTGTCTCCATATGCATGACTTTGCTGGGTATATACTGTACAAGTGTATGAAATAATGTGCTTGTATATGTGCATGTATATATATGCATGTGAAGAAGAGAGTTTGTGCATGTGCCTGTGACAGAGCAAGATGGAGTGTACTAGTATGTCCATAAACTGATTAGAACTCCACGTATCACTCTGACCCATGGCTATTGTACATTTCTGAAGCCTGACTTGAGTGATCAAACATTCAGGCCATGTGAGGCACTGTATTCTACAATGACAACAGAACCTAAAGGTCACTTTTTATCATTGTAGCAGGAATGTAGGAAATCAGGTCATAAAGTTGACCTTTGGATTATATACCAGTACACACACTGATACCAATTTTATATTTACTTGACACATTTATGAGGTTTCTGACATGTTCTCTCTGTAACAGTAGCATATGAGTTTTTAATTTGTATTTTTTGTTAATATTTACTTGACAGTCATATTTCTGTCTGAGCTATATCTTCTTACAGACCAAAAGTTTTATCTGTAGTGAAGGTTTTTGATTTGCATATTTTTTTACAAAATTCAATATAGTTTTACATTGTATATTAACAGTGTACATAATATATGAGAGAAAGTGACAGGGAATTTTGGTGAGCCATATACTCAGGAAACTGAGTACATTGATTATGGGAATAAATTGAATCTTAACCATATTATAACTTACACTTTAATGTATATGAGCTTCTGTGATAAAGTTTTCAAATGTTGATTATTTTTAATGAGTGGGGTTTAATCAAAGGACAGTTGCCTGAGGAATGTTTGATATCTGATTCATTGCAAATATTGATATAACCTGATATCTGGGGACAGTTTAACAAATGAACTTAAGCCTGAAGATTGGTCCAAAGTACAACACCCAAAATATGGTCCTCGTCAGTTCAAAATAGATTTATAGAACTTAATTACTAGTATTCCACCTTATTAAAGTATAGTCTTTCTTGTAAGAAAAAAAAAAATATATAAAAAAGGCATAACATTTTATTATTTTGTTAAATTGGAATGCTATTGATTTATCTAGAGAAAACTTTTTTTTTATGACTAATGCCCATTTATGTTCTGTTCTGTGAAGAAAGACCCAGTAACCATGTAGAGATGGTTGTCAATTTTTGAAATCAGTTTATTGGAAAAGAAGAGAAATGGTGATAATATTTATTTAGCATTATCAAGTACAAAACAAAGAATAATTGAATTTATTAATTTAAATAATTATCATTATGTTTTTATATACAATATAAATGATAGAAAAATAAAAATGTTTAAAAACTTAAGAAAATCAAGTAATTTTCAAACAAGCCTTCATTTAATAACTATAACTAACCAAATTTATAAATAAATAAATAAATTGACATGAATTTCAACAGTATTTATAAATTGTATAACATCAATCATTTGATCATATTTCAGACAGTAAAAGCCTTCCTACCATCGATGCTACGTAAAAACCATGGTCACATCGTGTCAATTGCAAGCTCTGCTGGACTTGTTGGGGTTACAGGCCTTGCTGACTACTGCGCCAGTAAATTTGCCGCTGTTGGCTTTGACGAATCATTGAAATATGAGCTGAACGCCATGGGTAAAGATGGCGTCCACACCACTGTGGTATGTCCCTATTATATCAACACTGGGATGTTTGAAGGTGTGAAGACAAGGTATGGACGGCCGACCCCCCCCCCCTCCCCCGGGGGGGGGGTACATTAGTATTGATATAATCATAATAGAAATAATGATAATAATATCAAAAGTAGAACGTCGCAGTTGAAATGCTATAATTATTATTATTATTTTTGAAAGGGATATGAAGCACTTGCAGTTGCTTCAGTAACATTAAGCCTTATTTTCTAGGGTGAGTGCTCAGAAAAACCTTCTTATACACACGTGTGCCCAGGCATTCATGCACACACGTGCACATATACACACTCATTGTTCATGTGTGCTGCAATTTATACTATACACATGCCTCTCACTGCATGTTTACAAGCGAAAACGTTTTCATTATTTCCTTTTTTCCACCAGGTTTCCTAAGGTCCTGCCAATTGTCAACCAGGATTATGCGGCCAGTAGAATTGTAGATGCTGTTCTTATAAACCAGGAGATTGTTTATATACCTCGGGTTCTTTACTTTTTCTTGGCTTTGAAAGGGTGAGTATAGGTGGCGCCACTAGTCTGTATAGAACAGTATCCAGAATTTAGAAGTTTTTTTAAAAAGAAACCTCTGTCCATCAGACATTGAGTGTAATTCATCACTACTCCAGGATACTGCTTACAAGGTTAAGTTATAAACTATTAGTAATATAAGAAAATATTTTTCTGTGAGAGGCTTTACAGCATATGTGTTGGCTGTAGATAAAAATTGTTCATTTCACACAACACAACAAAAATGTATTAAGAATTTTTGTATTTCAGTTATGTGTGGAATTATATGATAATTATGTTACATGCGATGTCATGTGTTCAGCTTATTTTTATATGTGTCAAAGAGTTTAGGGAACAAGCTTGTCAGACACAATGCAATATTGCTTTAAGTTTGAATCCCTGGTGTTTCAACACAATATTGTGTTGGGTGTGACATGCTTGTGTTTCAACACAATATTGTGTTAGATGAGACACCAGTTATCACACCTTACTCTACTGAAGAGTTCATTTTGTGCCCTTTTCCATGTAGGTATCTACCTGTAAAAGTGAACTTTCTACTCTGTAACTTCTTTGGCACAACTAAAATGATGGATACATTTATTGGGAGAAAGAAGATGGAATAGTTACTTGTAGAGTGGCTTTACATGTATGTTTTTTCTGCTTTGGCACAAATGGCTGAACAGCTTTTGCCTACTTATATGCTTGAAGAAGTACATCGCTGCTTTCAGCTTGTATGAAGAATAATTCAGAAGAATATTGCAGTTACTTGCATTTTATTTATCAGAAAGCAGTCATGTTCTCCATACTGCCATCTAAATTGCTGTTAGGGAAATAACAAGTAAATGTGTAGAATTTTCTTACCCCAAATGATTTATCAAACAAAAATTTAAAAAAAAAATAGACTTATTTGAAATAAACATGCTTTCTTTGACCAGCTATTTTTTTCCCTTGGAATTTTCACCAAAATCCTGTTTTACCACTTTAAAACTTGGATGGAATGTTTATAGAGTGGAAGAGTGTAAAGAGGAGCAAATTGTAAATTCAATCACACATCATTTTAAGCCCTTGGAATGAGCTAAGGACCCCCCCCCCCCAAAAAAAAAAAAAAAATGAATGTCAAATCTGCATGATGTCATCACATATTGATTTTTTTTTAAATGTGTGGATAACAGAACCTCAGATTAATAAAAAAATAAAAACAAATTTTTGATTCTGTTCTCTGTGGAGGCTGCTTCCATTCCATCTCACCCGCCTGATATGTGAATTCATGGGCAACCAAACCTTTATGGACACATTCCGTGGACGAGCAAAACAGAATTGATGTTATTACAGTAATTTCTTACTGAAGGTGAAGATATATGGGTCTGCATGGCCTTTTTACTTAGTACTAATCCATAGATGGCACCTAGCTCCTGTTTCTTGGTTTTTTTTTTCTTATTTTCTCTGAAGCACTAGGTGTCAGTAGAATTCTTTAGAGCACTGACTTGAGATATTTGGGTTTATTGATTTTCACAACTGGTAGGCAATAGCAAGACTTAAAGTCAATGATTTATCATATGTTGGGTTCAGTGTGTGGCATAGTAGATGTAATACCATCTTCATTGCAGACCTACATTTATATAGTGGTAGATTGAGTTCTTGAATTTAATTTTTGGCACCCGTGGATGATGCATCATGTCATTTCCTTTTCACAAATTGTTCATAGAAGGTGATGGTGACCCTTTGGGTGTGTTAAATGTGACATTGTGCTGGGATTGGATATGCCTATATGTGATGGTTAAAAGGATAACTATTCATTATGGCCAAAAGAAAAAAAAAAGAACTTTCCTGGGATGAACAACAATTTCCCATACTTACCAGTGGTAAATGAATCCATTTCTTAAGAGATTATTATAAAGTATAGCCATCTATGGAGGTCACATATGGTCAGATGGCAAGCACAGATTTCAGCATAATTGCCTCAACTGCCATTTTTGTGGTAAAATAGAATTTATTATATTTCTATGAGTTGTTAACAATTAATGTTTTAACTGCAAAATATAGATCTCATACAAAGAGTTGTTATCCCTTTAACTTTCATAACTAATTCGCAAGTTTTATTCTTTCTGTATATTGCTATTGATTAAACCCTTTTAATTCATGTAACCAACATATCTACTAGTTTCCAGTTTGCAAATAGTTTATTGCAATTTGTGGCAACTGCATGCTTTTGTTCTGTTGCGAGTGTGTTAGTTTAGGCAGTTTGCCAGGCATCGGATGTGCCATTATGATTGGTAACTTTCATAGCTTGCCAGTATTGTGTTACTTACATTAAACAGTGCTATTTGCTGAAACTATTATTACCTCCTTGTTAAGAATTCATTTTTTTCAGCTTGCTTATTTTAATTTGCAATTTTTTTTTTTCACCATGTTTTTTTTTCCTGTATTTTCGACATTATGCATTCATTCATATTTATTTATTTGTTCATTAGATTTTATGAAATAATTTTAAATTTGTAATATTTTTTTTTCTTTTCAGTCTTATTCCAGTGAAGGTTGGCCTTCTTTTAGCACAGGCCTTTGGAATTAATAACTGTATGGATGACTTCAAGGGAAGAGCAAAGAAAGATTAGATAAATTACCTAACCAGAGCAAAGAAAATAGAGTTATGCCAACATTTTATTTTACCTTTTTTTCTTTTGTTTAAATCTAGTTTTCGATCTTATATCATAATCAGCTAGGAATTGGACACTTTTCAATCATGTTTTGTGTTCTCTAGCCAGTGAATTATTTTTATTTATTTTTTTTTTTATTAGCCATTTTTAAATTTTTCATAAAACCTGTGTTACTCCATAAGAATTTTTTTTCTAACTTAGCCAATTAACCTAATTGTCCTTTTGCATGTTTAAATTGTACTTATAAGTGATTAACTTAAAATTCCCCAATTGTTAGAATGATAGAGTGATAGTAAACTTTGCTATTTACTTTGCTTTTCTTCAAAAATTACAATATTACCCAGTTTACAATAAGAATAATTTTTTGAATAATAATATTAGAGCAATGTTGCATGTGTATTTTTTTCTTTTGCCAGTGTATGTGATTTCATATGTGATGTAATCCATAGGAAACTAATATTCTTGAATGCCACTTTAATTCAATTTTTACAGTGAGCTGTCAGTTTACATTATTGTATTAAAAATGTTAATATTAAGTTTAACTTAGTTACTTTTTAATCAGATTTATTGCCTTTGTAAGGAATGTGGATTTGCTAAATAACGATCATGATTGTAAAATCCTGTTCATGATTATGGCTTGTAAGTATATTTCATTATAACATTAATTGGCACATTGGTGGATGTTTTATTGTTTTGTTCAATTCTTAGTCTTGTGCACAAGTTTATGTATATGTACATCAGAACTGAAGTGAGTATTAACAAGCAGAAGTATTGTAATTAGTGCCAAAATTTGTCCAGATTTTCTCCATATTTTTTATGAAACTGTTGATATGCTATACATCGTGGAGCCATATTTCTGTAAATTTCAAACAGTTGATTTACTCTACCGTTCCTATTTATTTCCAGCAAAAAGTGATATAAAGAATAGAAAAAGGGGTTTTGACTTGTTGCGTATCAAAGATTTTTATTGTTAAATTCAATAAAAAATTCTACAAGTTTTTGCTGACTGTAAAAATGGAACTGTGTAGAAATGACTGTCAGTTATTTCATTGATATTCAAATGTCTAATCTTGACCTACCTCAAACTTGTCAAGAAATATACAGGAAATATGTACAAAAAATGATACTGTTCGTGAAATGTTTGAGAAATCTTCACAATTAGTATAATATTTGTATACAGCAGACTGCATATTTTTTCACAACTAAACTGAATTATTGTTTAGCTAAAAAAAGTATTGTAGCATGTTTTTTCTCTCTTAAATTTAATAAATACCACCTGCTCAAATCTTTTTTCCACCTTAGACACCTCATCCATGTATGTCTTAAAAGTAATTGTAATAATTTTTTTTCCATTTCCAGAGTGATTATGTTAAATTATGCTAAGTCTAGTGTATCAAATAAATGATTCAGCTAATTTTTTTGGGCAACTGCTTATGGAAGAGGTCAGACGAACAGTTAAAAAACTACAATAATAACATTCATAATAATCTTACAAAGAATTTTTGGTGTTTTTATTTGTACGAATACATAAGCATTGTTCTCACTATATTCAAGTTTTTCCTGCAAAAACAAACATTTACTAACAATTATACAAAACAGCAGAAGTAAAATCTGAAAAAACATCACACAAAAATCAACACTAACCACAACTACTTCATGTAAGTTACTAAAAGTAACAGTTCAGTTAATTAAAAGCAATGCTTTTCATTATTTGCATCAAAGACTGAACTCTGAGATATATTTAATTTTGCTTTGATCACACCCATATGCTGCCATTCAATTTAAACTCTAATATTAAAAACATGAGATTAATTCAAGGAAGAGAATCATGGAGTTTTGTCTTTACTTTAGTGAGACCTGGGTTCTATAACAGTTTCCCTACACTAAGACTTGCTTCAAACAATATATTTCTGCCTTTGGCCAGTTGCAGCAGTCATCAATTCAGCAGAGCAAAGTTTGAAAAACAGCTTGATCCTCCATTTTATTTATTTATTTTTTTTTTGGGCTGTTCATTTTTTTCTCTTTTCTAAAGCTCCTCTTGAAAGGTTAAACAGCACCATCTACAGATCTGTCTGCTCACCAACAGGTGGCACAGGCCCCTGTTCTGCATGCTGTTCTTGCTCATAATCCAGCGGCACTAACAGATACTGTCCCTGGTCACCTGCGGCCGTCCCCTCATCAGAAGGTGCTGTAGTAGAAATCATTTGGTTTCCTGTAGTTCCCGTGGCAAGAATCTGAGAAGCAGCAATTTGAGACGCTAAGTCCGCCAAGTTGATGCTTTTGCTGGTGGCGCCATCTATGCTGCTGGACAGAGACTGCAGAGCTTGGGCGGTCTGGAGGGCCTCTACGACATCACTGGAGAGGTTCTCCATGACAAGCTGGTCACCTGTGGTTGCAGCAGCGGTTGTTGGGATGGCATCCCCTGCACCCTGCTCGCCTCCTTGTTGAATGTGGATTACCTGGAAGAGGAGGCAACATTCTGAACATTTATATGGGAGGACATAAACACAACCTGCTTAAATTCAGGCTCAGCCGTAGTAATCATCTACTCGTGGATATGGAAACGCACTGCCCATGTAGCACTGAGGTTCAAGATCTTTGCATGTCTTAATTTTTCTGTTTTAAGGATCACTTAAAGAAATACTGTTGTTTGTGGTCATCATTGTATAGGCTAATTACTAAAAAAAAAAAGAAATTTAGGTCAATTTGTGGCACAGGGCATTTAATTAATCCACAGTGCCAGTAATCCCATCCACCATTATACATGTGCTCTTGTTCTTGTAAAACCAATGTCACGTTGACACGATCATGAATCAAATTCAAAACCAAGAAGATTTTAAAATTCTGAGCACAGAAACAACTTCCACTGACCTCTGTGTTGTCTGTGAGTTCTATCTGCCTCCCATCAGGCATCTGTATGATGGTACGGCCAGTTGGACCCTCGCCAAGCTCTCCAAATATCACCTGGGATGTGCCGTCCTATGGAAACCAAACGTAATGGTCAATATTTTTTATCAGCAAGGCTCTCCTGACTTAAGTTTTAATGCCTACATTAAACAACAATATGCAAAACAACAAAGTTTTAAAGCTGACAAAAGATAAATTCTTTTTTTGATAAATTCTTTTTTTTTTAATCATCTTTTGACCAATTTTTCATTTAAAAAAAAGAAAAAAAAATTGAACAAATAAATGAAAATATGAATTTAACACAAAATCTTAATTCCCTAAATATTACCTCAATATTCTGTCCTCCCTGGACCTCCACCAGTCTGGTTTGCTGGTTGGGATCCTGAATCTGGACCAGAATGTGCTGAGGTGGCTTCTCTACCACACTCCCTCCTGCCCTGCCAGCTGAGATGGTGCTGCTCTGGATCCTGGGCTCATCAGGCTGGTCCACCTTCTTTAACAGGGTGTGCAGGAAGTTGGGGTCCTGGAAAGTGGTTTTTAAATAAAAGAACTATCAAGGAACAACCTCACTGCAATAGTTAAAGGAATCTAGGGTGAATTATTACATTTTTGTACTGAAGTATTTCTATTTTTTTTTCTGTGATTCAGGAACCCTGTAACATGGATTACATGTGCCCCATTAAATCAAAAAGACTTAACAATTTTTTAGACTCACCAAAATTTGGAAACAAGTGTCATGACTACCAAAGTCAAAACTTGGCTATCAACTTCCATCGTAAATAAAACTTTGAAACCTTAATATGAACAACACGTTCTTTTTATTTTCTATACCTGTACCTTCCCTCTACAGAACAATTACCTGTAGCATTCCCACATTGCCTGGATGTTTCCGTTGGATATGGCGTCGTAGTGTGTGGCGATATCGACACATCTCCGAGCAAAGGCTGCACACATACATCATTCCGCTGTGAAACTCCAGGACGTGCTTCTTCAGCTCATGCGGCAACACGAACTTCTTGGTGCAGTGATCACACGCATGTTTCTTGCCCTGCGTATGTTCAAGCGTGTGCCTGTACAGTTGCTCTGGGTATTTGAACGAAGCCTGGCAGTAGTTACAGTTGAAGTGCTTCTTGGGATCGTGCATTAGCATGTGCTTCATCAAATTCCCTTTCTGACGGAATATCTTCCCACAGGTTTGACACGCGAACACTTTTGTGATTGCGCCATGAAACTGTTTCTTGTGGGCGTAGAGTGTGAGCCTTGTCTTCAGCAGCTTTCCGCACTCGTTACACTGAAACTTGCGCTCCTTAGTGTGCACAGCATTTTTGTGCTCCAACATCTGGTGGCGTATGTGGAATTTTTTGTGGCAGACATCGCAGGAGAAATGCTTGTCGCCATGGGTTTTAAGATGCTTGTTAAGATTGCTCTTGCTAATGTAGGTTTTTCCACATAGGTAGCAAACATATTTGTCCTCCATTTCGGCTACTCCTTTCCTGTAAAAGGTTAAGATTAAGGTTGAGTCAAAAGTCTGTTACTCGCGAAGGACAAGTCACCTTAATTATTGTCAGGTTTCCTGGATCTACCCAATACTGAATTGATCTCACCTTCTGGAAATGGCACTACCATCGGCATCCATAACTACCAGTAGGTCTTCATCCCTTGATTTATGTATGCAATAGTATGCAGGTAGGCTTACAGGTGTTAGGCCTATTAAAAGCCACAAACTTGCTGTCGTAGCTGTAATTAATCTTAGTATCTTACCCGATGAATACATACGTAATTCAGCCTTACGCTTTTTAAATTTTACTAATTTACATCGGTTGCTGAGAGGACTCATCAAAAATTTTTTATTTGAAGACTGTCAGTTTCTATGGTTACTGAAATATGAATATATAATAAAAGTACTGAATCAACTGATTAATTTTATTCATCGAGTTCCTGCAATATCTGTTACATACCTGACTGAGTATTTCATCCTGACCACCGACCCATCTGGCCTGCGACATGTGTGGTTGTTTAGGTAATCCTTGCGATAGAAGCTCTTCCCACAGAACTCGCACTCGTAGTTCGGCTCCTCGTGTGTCTGCATGTGGCGATCCAGATAGCGTGGGTCTGAGAGCGTTCTGTTGCACACTGTGCAGTTTACAGCACCTGACGGAATATGAAGTATGTTTTTTTTAGATGTGTTAATCTGTTTAACTGATAGTGTCAATGGGAATGAGCCCTTAATCTTGATGTGAGGAAAATATGTCATATTTGTCAAGAAATTGTCAATCTTCATCCCTTCAAACCTTAACTATCACCTTTTCTATAAAGAATCATTTTATATACTAAATCAAGTTACTTTTTGTCTTTTATTTTTGTTCTTAATTGCCTGCCTGTTTTTTTTTTTTTTTTGCTCATGTTGTGCACAATCCTCTATGTAACCTTTAAAAAATCTCATATGGCAGAGCTCAACATACATCCAAAACTAGTATTTAATTAATTTAAAAAAACTTTATCTAAAAATTAAAGTAAAAAAACCTCACCTTCTTTTCCAGTGCACGTTTTCTCATGCTCCAAGTGGGAGAACTTCCTGGCGAACCCCTTGCCACATTTGGCACACTCATGGGGGTGACGGTGCTTCACCTTGTGATCCCTGAACAAGATGGCATCAGTGAATTCTTCTCCNAGCGCCCCCTGTACCTCCTAATAACCTTTCTCCTAAGACACGTCATCGTTGACCCGTTAAACGACAATAAATACATGTATTACCTCCATAGCCACAGTTGCCATGGCAATCGTTTTGATGTTAGCAGTGGTGAATTTCCGTGGCGTTTCGGAATTACAACTAAGCGGTCAGGGAATAGTTTCCTTCATCACCGCGTCCATTCCAAAATATGTTTTGAGCTTTTTCAACTCGGAAGGTAGCAAAGAAGCCATTAAACGTAGTTGGGAGGTTACGGTCCGTGAAAAAGTTAACAAATATGTAAAAGAAAACGAAACCAAAGGAACATAGAGTGATATAAGACGTGTTACTTTTTTGTGTCTTCTAAAATTTAGCCAATGCGCGATGCATTCATTGTATCTTGTTTTAGCTTTTTGCGATGAATAACTGAAGGGTGTTTGTTATTCCGTAAAAATAAGAAAAAGCTGACAGTCACAGAAAAGAAATGTGCACTCATAGTTAATTACCACTGTGCATATCCTGTCAAAGATCTTAAGATTTTATTTCACTTTGCCCATTATTTTTCTTGTACATAAATTACATGTATGTGATGAAGTTTCTAAAATGTATATTTTTATGTTTAACCGGCGTTGCTGTTTGGTTTCACTAGAACTAGTGATTGTTGGGTATTTTGTTTATGTATTCAAATCAATATTTCTTCTGGTAATTCTTTATCTTTGATTACATGTAGGCCTATAAATCTTTATGAAAACAATTGGTTAGTTGACCATTTTTTCTACAATCAAAGGTTAATAATATTGTTATTATGTTGATTCAAACTTACTTTTTGGTTTATACAAGGAATCAATGGTAGTGAAGAACTGCCGATCTTTACATTATTTTACACCCTTCAAGGACACCATTTGTAAATAAGTTATGAAATGCTGCTACATTTAAAAATAATAAATGTAAGAAGTAATTAAGTTCTGTGTTGTTATAATACTCTAGCACAAACAAACAAAAAGCTTTTATGTCGGTCATCATCCTATAGTGATATGCATTAAAACAGAGGAAAGAGAGACAGCGGGAGACATCCCGAACATTATGCTTTAGAAAACCTGCAAACCACTTAGAAAACTAGGGCACAGCCAGTAAATTGTAGTGTACCAAAATTCAGAACCAAACGTTTTTGAAACACCCTTATCCCCTTTTCCTTGTCAAACTTTTAATGGTTTGTGTTTTATTTTAGAACTCATATTGGTCTTTATTGTATATTTAAAAAAAATCAACTCCTTTGCTTTTGACAATCTTTTACAGGTTGTCATTTAGGTCCTATTGTATATCCTTTATTTGCAGTAAATGCTAATCTAGTTTATGTACAACTTCAACCTTTTGGTTGCTATAAATTGATAAACGTATTGTTATTATAGATTTATCGATTATTGAATATAATCTAAATAAAGACTCAAGCGTAATACAAGTATAAATAAATAAGTCTCGCTCTTGCATTTGTTTCTCCCATTTATTTATTCAAATATTTTTATTTCATGCCTATCCATCACAAAAACCACTTCTGAATTTTGCAATAGCCACGAATGCATATGAATTTGTGCTGCATTCGTATATATAACATTTGGCTATGGCAAAACAGAGCGCGGGATCTGCACTAATTTTTATCTCTCTTTGCTCGGCAAGTTTGCATTTTAAAAGTCACCTAATTAAGATAATTAAGAGGGTTTGGTTATCTTCTGCCTCTGTGTGATCCCCAACCCCAACTACCCACTCGTTTTAATTTCTTCTTGCATGACAAAACATGCGTAATTCCCTAATGCTAGGAGGGGTATAGACGCATGCTGCTTGTAAGCCATTTTGATATAGTTCTTACTTTGTTAGTTTTTTTTCTGCATACCAGCTTATTATTTTAATTTGATTTTTCTATGGCAAGGCTAACAACGTAAACATTAAAATCTATATTTATGGTCAACCGTATTATTTATCGACATTTAAGGCAGAAGCATTTATTGATATCAAAACCAAAACGAAGGTACCATTGTCACCTTGTAAACGGTGGGTCTGTTGTGGTGAAATAACGAGAATACCCTGCTGCTTCTCTTGACATAGCGGGCCAATACTCCAGTCTAAGACAAAGTATGGGCAGGTATTTAAACATTCCAATATTACAGATCAAAGTTGTCCTTTGAGAGTGAGTTCTGAGTGTTTTACAAAGTACATCTAAAGGCGTAAAAAGACCTAAATGCATACATGTGATATACAGCATCTGATATACAAGCGCCCAATCCGATATCTTTTTATTCTCCATGTTAAAATGAAAAAAAAAGTTTCGTGTTTGTGTTTGAATGTGGGAAATTGAAATCTCGAGATCCGCCTTTGGCAAATTTTATTTAAAACGTTTTGTCTTCCACACTAGTGCAATCTTGTGTGAAGAAGAAATAGCAACAGATTGAAAGGACCCATCCTTGAGGCATGATACTGATATTTAAGAGTGAGATTGTGAGATAAAGAACCAACGTCAACTGTATAATTTATTTCTAAAATGAAAATCTAAAATAAAAACGGACGAATGATCTTAAAGTTTTACATATAATCCTTGCACAATAACGTTTAAAGCCGTCTATTACAGTCTATTATATTAAATACGAGTTTTTATTTCCGCACCGTCAGTGCAGTGCTGTGTGCAAACTTCAGATGATAGCACCTGCCACATTAACGTTTCTGTTTGAACGACAGGTAAATGGAAAATGATCCAGACCTTTTGCACTCTCTTCGTGTTAAAATTTGGTTTCATGTTTCATGTTTAAAACGAATCGATCATGGGTATGAAATAAAACTTATCTCATGAGTTTGAATTACAAAGAGGGGAAATACTCTATAAAAGATGTTATTTCACACACACACACACACACACACACACACACACACACACTTAATCCGCGTTTTACAAAAAAAAAAGCGTAAATACCTGAACCTGTTTTCGGCTGAGGATATTGTATGAACGTCTCGTCTACTGCTCTCTGTATGTTTTTTATTTTACATTTTTGTTTTCCATTTCTAAAGGATATTGTAGTGCAGACTCATTTAAAGCTACAATTTCCACTCTCTGAGGAGATTTAACAGGCTGCTTACTCAAAAATAAATTTTAAGTGCTTTGGGGCCGCACGAAGTTTACATCTCCGTTGGAAGTTTAAGTATTAGTATTACCGAACAGACGGTCCAGTGTTTGCAGACATTGATTGCCGACATTCTAAACGTAGGCCTACTAGTGGAACTGTTCAGCTGACGAAAAAAAATACTAATAGATGGTATGTGGACTATTGTAAATGTCAAAGATAAGAACTGCATGTCCTCTTCAGATCTGGTTATATGTAACTTGTTCTGTAGCGCCTAAGCATCTCACAGCGTTCATTTGTTATATCTAATGCTGTGCCTGATGAGTTTTTAGAGAATGGTAGTTGGGTGTTATTTTTAAATATAATATGTCTTTCCGTCTGTCTATAGATCCTGCAACCACCCTAAGCAAAATGGAAGTGAAAATTGCGAAAGTATATTTAATATTCGTGGTACTTCAATTAAACATTGCCAAAACACAGGCTGAAGACATTTCCCAAAACATGGACTGTCTCAACATCATGCTCCATTCCAAATGTCAGTTGAACATGACGGAAGAGAGTACACAACTTATCAACGGAAACTTGTCTAACCCCAAAGCCACCTTTGTTCGCTTGAATCCCATAGTTCGGCCATATTACAGTGATGAGTTCTGGCGTACTAAAAACAGGAGTGATGAAATTGGGAAATATTTCTGGGTTTGGGCTGATGACATTGGGCGACAGTACCTGTCCCTGGATTACAATTTCGTGGAGATGTCCTTATGAACTCTTTCACCCGGTGTGGGGAAAATTAACATCGACTTATATGAGGTACAAGAAGGGTGTTGGGTTACCTTAAACGTGACTGAGCAATTCTGCACCCTAGCGACACTGTTTCTGGAAACAATTCATGAAATAGCTGTTACACAACATCGCTTGCAGGACAGTGTCATTTGCTATACTAAGACGGAGTTGATCAACGTACTAGTATGGGACGTGCCTAGTAGTTACCAGTGCTCAGATATCTCCAATGTTTCAAAGTTAACTTTTTCGCCGGAGGATACTGGTACTGGGCTATGGAATTTCTATATTTTAAAATATACAGTCATATTCATTGCGGGATTCTTTTTACCACTGTTTATCGTCTGATTTTTTCCAGAACTATTCACTGTTCGATGTTCTCAAAAACTGCAAGCTAACATGAAGAACTTCGAGATAAGCTCTATTAAGGCACAAACCCCTCTTAGTGAATATTTTTCGCCTGGCAAACGGTTGTCTGCCGTTCTGGTGATGCATTTGTTAACGTACCCTGTGGCTAATTCAGCTTTCATTTATAAGTTTTCCATCGATTTCATTTATTACAAAGATTACACAGAAAATTACATTTACTTTATGCNAAAAGTGCACGGCGACGGCGACAGCGACGACAGCGACGGCGACGACAGACGCAGATGATGGCTATATGTACAGACACATCTGTGTCTGTACATAATAATAAAGAAACAAAGAGAAAATCCAGGAAAAGAGGGCACAAACCCCTCCCGACACTGCCCATGTATTATACTCACATAGAGAGGGGGTCCTCCTCTGTTGTTTCCAGTCCAAGCTCTGGGCACTGTTCTGTGTCATGACTGCCTCCACAAACATCACAACCTAACAGTATGAAATAAAACTCAAATAATACTATATCCATGAAAGACCACATTCAGGCCTGTATAGCCAGCAATATCAAAGGGTGGGTGGGTGCGGGGACTGTATTATTATAACAATTTTTTTATTTTTATTATGATTTCAAAAATGTGGACCTCTTTAGGCACATTAACATTATCATAACCCCCTTACTAGTAGAAATGGCAAATAAAGAACCTGAATCGTATTTTGATAGTTTAAACCCTTAATATTTTCAACCAAGAGGTTGCCACCCCCACAGCTATTCACATACTTTTTAACCAAATGAATGCAATTACCTAAAAAAATATGCCATAAATTAATTTTATACCATCAAATGTTTAACCACCAGATAATGCAGCTGCAGTTATATTTATATATTATACATATAAAATTTTACCTTGCACAAATTTATCAAGAAAAATTATCTATAATAATCTGTTATATATTTATATACTTTACTGGACATTACAACATTATAAATTACACAATCTTAGCTAATACTATATATACCCTGCAGATCCACTTCAACATCCATATTGTTCTTCTTTACTTATGTCTCTTCTGTGTTACTGTGGACTAAATTTAAAATCAAAGTATAAATATTACATAGTTTCACATCTTTGGCAATATGTCCAGGAATGATAAAATTTTATGAGCCATTTGCTAGATGGTGAATACTACTGCATCTCTCTAAATAAGTGTGTGTGTGTGTGTGTGTGAGAGAGAGAGAGAGAGAGAGAGGAGGGGGAGGGGCAACTTACCAAGGATTTGTCTGGCTCTTTATTTCAGTTAAATGTACAAACAAGTTAAATTCCAACAGCCAACACTGCTAAAAACCCTTCCCAAACCACAAACAGTCAATATCGACCCGGGGTTTCTTTTAATCTTCAATAAGATATTTGTTTTATTATTTAACCTCCTTAAGTCAAATCCGTCTGCTCATATTTTCGCGGAAACTTTCAGTAAAGTAAAAACACGGATCGAGATACACAAAAATGGCGTGCATGGAAATTGGACGGAGTCCGATGGCAGTCTTTCTTTATAAAAATCACGCAAAATATAATCAACATAGTTTACCTGCAGATAGATATAAAGCATTATTCCGCAACAGAACGGACTTTCACTTGAATGTCTCCTTTAAAAGACCATAAATTAATAAGATTTCCAAGTTAGGAACGGTAAAATCAAAATGGTGGAATGCGCCCCAGCAAATGCGCATGCGTACTTTTATTCAAGAGGCGCCAGTCTCGCAGCTTAGCACAGCGAATTTCACAGCACACGATACAAATGCCTGCACCACCTTACAAAACTTGGCCACGACTTTACGCGACAAAGAATAAAATTTCTTACAAAATATCAGTATCGTTTTTCTACTCATGACCTTTGAAAACTTTAAATCTTTCTACATTTTCCGGGAAAATTAGGCATGCAGTGTATAGAAAGCGCTGTAAGGATATTAATTGTCACCCTTCGCCCAAAACTCTTAAATTACTGCCTTACATACGTTATTTATGATGATAGATAAACTACAGGGTTCAGTAGATAAATGATTAACATTTACACATGTCATCTTACTGGCGACGTCATAATTTCGATTTAGGGGTAAAAACTAAAAAAATCGGTTTCTCAAATTTCTCCTTTATCCCAGCACCCACGATCACCGTTTCAACACCGATGTAATGACACTATTTAGAACTCCAAAACCCTGCTGGCCATTTTTTAAAAGTCTTAAGTAGTTCAGATCTGATTTTAGCGTTGATAAAGCAAAATATTATATGATAGGCCTATGCCTACTACAGTAGCAAGGCCTATTTTTAATTAAAATCTTTAATTAGGAGCTCATAACTCCATAATAAAAACATTTAAACCAAAATGACAAACCAGGATTGTAGCCCATGCTTTCCCGGTTAACTCTGCCAATTTTCGTGATAAAATCTTGTTCATGGATGAAGATACTTCCCATACCAATATTGTTATCTCACCTCAACATAGAAAGGTGTTATTATTATTATTATTTTATTTTTTTAGTTTTTTATTGCTTTAAATCAACACAAAGATAGGCTAAATGCTAAATACTGAATAATTAGATGCAGGAAAAAAAACCATTTTCGGTATCAGGATGATAATAAAGTATAACAATATTCCAAAATAAAGCTCATCAACATAGAAAGGTGTTATTATTATTATTATTTTATTTTATTATTTTTTTTTTTAGTTTTTTTATTGCTTTAAATCAACACAAAGATAAATGCTAAATACTGAATAATTAGATGCAGGAAAAAAAACCATTTTCGGTATCAGGATGATAATAAAGTATAACAATATTCCAAAATAAAGCTCATCAAGGGGGTCGAAGTACATAAAAGATTTCTCAGCATCGCTAACGGGACAGACAGTTCTGACTCGCATTACGTGCCGTTGTAAGGTTCGATTTTAGGTTCACAGATCGAGAAGAAGTGAGCAACAAGAGTCGTGGATTTCCAAACAGCTTTATTCCCACTGCCTAAGTTCCCTCTCTACCCACCACATGTTCTATTTATATCTACCTTAATGTCTCATTTAAATATGACCTTATAATAAATCTTTCTAATCTAAGCGCGGGCGCTGCGACATCCTAGGGGCGTGGGACATGCTAAGGGGCGCCACCGCGTCCCTTACACCATATAATAAGGAGACAACCATGTTGGGATGTGCTGTTAATAAAGGAACCCGGTAGGCCTATTTCACGAGTAGGCTACGTCATCTTTTCTTCAAGGTAGCACTGAAGAAGAAGTCAATGATCGTGGAAGCGTACTTGTGAGCAACCGGCAGCCAGCAGTCGCTTACTCCATGCAGCGCAAGAGTAATACATTTTGTAATACAAATTGGATAAGAACGGTCCCACTCCCAAAGTATTGGTGCCAATATAGCCCTTCCCCAGTCCCCGGCAACAGTATACTGTTTTAAATCATAAACAGTTTATCAATCCCAAAATAGATTGATTTTTTTACAAAATGTTCGAATACTTGGAATTATCGCACTTCTACCTAGTTCTGATTCTTTTGATTTTAGCGCCGATGAAATTAATTTCAAACAAAAACTAAAACTGAAAGTTGTTCTAGATTATTATATAATTTATAATAATGTTATCAAATATTTAAATTACCATTGCTTAAATGCACCGCTTACAACTCTAGCACAATCTATTTAGCTTGATATTGTTTTCAACGGTTTCTTCTCTACTGCATTTGACAGTAAATCACACCTGCTGTATTCCGGTCAATGTGAAATTATTTATTTGTGAGACCAGAGGCGGATTTAGAGGGGGGGGGGGGGCTTGATCCCCCCTCCCCCCTTCGATTTCTGGTCCCCTCTTGTAATTAGCATTTTGACTAGCTGAATCATAGTCCTAAACCGTACCAAATGGCACCGTTCGGCCTCCAAAACACTAAGAAATTTCCGAAGCCCTTCAGTGGGCCCCGAACTCCACGCCAAGTGAATAACCCGAGCCTGATTTCAGCTAAGGAGATTATATGAAGTCCCGTCTATGCTTGTCGTATGTTTTTTTTATTTCCTTTTTTGTTGCCCATTTCTAAAGGCTCGATATTGTATTGCAGGCCAATTCAAAAATACAATGTCATCGCTATGCAGAAATGTGACAATACGCATAAAAATTAAGCGTTAGGTTGTTTATTCAAAAATAAAAAAAAGTGCTGTTAGCTGTTTGGCTCACGCGGTGTTTACTGGCTGTTTGGAAGTTAAAACGAAAGCAACGGCATTACCTGGCAAACACTCCGGTCTTTGAAGACGTTGAGGGACGACATCTTTTAAGTGCTGGTGGAACTGTTTAGCGGACGACAAAATACTAATAGATACTGGTATGTGGACTATGGTGATAGTCAGAGATAAAAACTGTCCTCTTCAGTTTTAGTTATATGTAATTTGTTCTGAAGCGGATAATCATCTTGCAGTGTTTACCTTTAGGTTTTATAGATTTAATACCGTACCTCATGATTTTGCTGCATATTACAGTGAATGGTTGTTGGGTGTCATTTCTAAATGCAAACTGACCTTTCATCTGTCTACAGATCCTGCAACCATCCAGAACGAAATGGAAGTGAAAATAGCGAAAACATTTCTAATATTCGTGGTATTTCAATTGAGCTTCACCAAAACACAGGCTGAAGACATTCCCCCAAACGTGGACTGCCTCAACATTTCGCTCCATTCTAACTGCCAGTTGAACATGACAGAAGAGAGTACACGGCTTATCAACGGAAACTTGTCTAACCCCAAAGCCACCTTTGTTCGCTTGAATCCCATAGTTCGGCCATATTACAGTGATGAGTTCTGGCGTACTAAAAACAGGAGTGATGAAATTGGGAAATATTTCTGGGTTTGGGCTGATGACATTGGGCGACAGTACCTGTCCCTGGATTACAATTTCGTGGAGATGTCCTTATGGACTCTTTCACCCGGTGTGGGGAAAATTAACATCGACTTATATGAGGTACAAGAAGGGTGTTGGGTTACCTTAAACGTGACTGAGCAATTCTGCACCCTAGCGACACTGTTTGTGGAAACAATTCATGAAATAGCTGTTACACAACATCGCTTGCAGGACAGTGTCATTTGCTATACTAAGACGGAGTTGATTAACGTACTAGTATGGGACGTGCCTAGTAGTTACCAGTGCTCAGATATCTCCAATGTTTCAAAGTTAACTTTTTCGCCGGAGGATACTGGTACTGGGCTATGGAATTTCTATATTTTAAAATATACAGTCATATTCATTGCGGGATTCTTTTTACCACTGTTTATCGTCTGTTTTTTTCCAGAACTATTCACTGTTCGATGTTCTCAAAAACTGCAAGCTAACATGAAGAACTTCGAGATAAATAGCTCTATTAAGGCACAAACCCCTCTTAGTGAATATTTTTCGCCTGGCAAACGGTTGTCTGCCGTTCTGGTGATGCATTTGTTAACGTACCCTGTGGCTAATTCAGCTTTCATTTATAAGTTTTCCATCGATTTCATTTATTACAAAGATTACACAGAAAATTACATTTACTTTATACCTATTGTGTGTGTAGGTCTTCTACTGCTCGTCTCTCTTTCGTTATATTACGCTATACAACCGGCAATTGAATTTGAAGAATGTAAAACAATAATTGATTTTGCTGCGAATGAAAGATTTAAGCAGCTCCGTCGCGCATTGAGACTACAGTCAGAAACTAGAAACATAGACTGTACAATAAGCAGTTATTTAGGTGATTATATTTCCCTTGAAAATAATATGAGAAAGAGCTTGTTAGGGGCAATAGATTTGTTCAAAGAGTTGAAAGAGGATATAGGATCGCGTTTAAATCTTAGAAATGCGCCCTTGTCATTATTAAGATTAATTGGAGGATTATTAATTATCCCTTTAGTCACTGCACCTCTAATTACTGTCATTTTCGGGGGAGCAATTCCTCTACCAAGCCGAGCAGGTACCAAACGTAAGTTGAAAAAACTAACAGCAATTTATTTAGATGGATATGTCATGATATGTTGTATGGCATCTTTAGGCATCTGGATTCCAGTGGTAACAATGACTTTGACCGGTGCCATCATAAATTCCGACATTGTATTGCCGTACATTATATTAGGTTTATCAGTGATATATTACGTCTGCCATCCGTTCTATGCTTTACAAGAAAAGTACCTTGTACCTTGCATTTAAAGAATGTTCATCAAGTTGTCCTAGGTACATAAAATGTGTTCCCCTCAACGCTAATAGCGAAGACTGTTCTGACACACATGCTTTACCAAACAATAATGACACATGTACACCCTTGGAAAATGTTATTAATGAAGGAGCCTCATCTTCTGTAAGTGCGACATCTGTGGCTCCACGTAATGTTGGAGAGGGTAACGCTACTAACAGCTCACAGTCTCCTCCTCCTCTTCCTCCAGAAAAAGTCATTGAACTTTACTTTCAAGAAAGCACTGAAGAAGAAATCGCTGATTGTGAAAACGCACAAGCAACAGGCAGGCAACAATCGCCTGCTGCAGCGCAAGACAAAGAACAATATATTCTATTGTACAAATCAGATGACAACGGTTGGGAGAGCATCCCTAAAGACTTGTGGGTGTCCATTTATAAAAAAATTCTTCCCTTGGATGAGGGTATAGCAGTGGCATGTATTACCTCCATCGCCGCAGTTGCCATGCAATCTTTTTGA